TTATATATAACGGGTGAAAGCTGTGAATAAGTTGCAAGTAATGCAGAATCGAGCAATGCGGGTCATATTGCAGTGCAGCCGTGACACTTTTACGATACGGTCCACTCGACAGAGTTTACGAGTTGATTGCATCAGTTGATTGCATTCCACATCGTGTTGTCACCGCATATTTGGGCGCGGTTGACTTTGAAATCTTCAATCTACGGCAAAACAGGGTCTTAGCAGAAAAGGAGAGAGAGAGAGTGATATAAATAGGCGACTTTTGCCAGAGAGAATATAATCGACCATTTATTACTTTGCACAATTCTCTGCGACGATCTTGTTTTCAGTGCATCCTATTTGATACCAAGCTTTTATTTTAGGAGTACGGGACCGTCACGCGCGGCAGCAATTCGCGAAACGAGCTGTTCTAGAATGATGACGGACGTGGCCGATGACACTCACGCGATCATTCACGAAAGAGACCGTCTGCAATTCTCCCTCGTGGTCGATCGATGAAAAATCCAGCGTTCGCTTCCTAGAATTCATCGTGATGAGAAGCTGAGCGTCGCCTTTCGCGTCCACGATCTTAATGACGTGCCAAGGATACTTGGGTGATTTTCTAGCTCTCAGCGTGTACACCAAAGAGAACTCTTCTGAAAGCCCGTCGGGTGTGATGTCCCTGGAAAAGAATTCTCACGTGGAAGGAAGGCCGGCACTTTCGCTAATCGTTAGGGCCTGAGCAGAGTGGCTGTCTTGTACTCTCAAGACAATGCTTTACGTTTCAAATCCTGTCTTGTGTCTTAGGTCCGTTTTCACCAAACCGATCGCTTAACTTTAATCTTAATTTACTTCGCGTTTGTCTCTTTCTAAAGTAACAGTCGGAAAGTAACAAAGAACGAATTAAACTAAACTTAAAGTTAAGCGACGTTGATGAAACCGGGCCTTAAGAGTACATGACAACCATTCTGCTCAGAGCCTAACATAATAGGCGATTATCGTGCTTTCGTTAACGAGGGTAAAATTTTTTATTGTTTAACACATGAATAGATTGAAGGAAAAAAGCTCCTCCCTGTCTTGAAAATGTTTTATCTAATTTGTTTTCCCTTAGCTGAGCAAAATAGCTCTGCTCAACCCTATCGATAAAAATAAACATTAACCGCCGAGATCGAGTTAATCGGGGTCTGTGGCCCAAATCAATGTTTCTGCGCGTGCTAATTTGAATACTTTGTCGGGAGGGTGACATCAGTGTCTTTCTCCAGCCGGTATGCAGTCTGCATGCGATTGCTGCCTCGGACCTTCGTCATGCCGTTGTAACGCGCATCTAGCAGATCCAATTTCAGCTTGCTGATGAAGTCAAACGTCTGCAGATCGTCCTCGCCGGACTTGTAGCCGTTGCACAGTCCGCGTTTGGCGACGGTATATTCTAACAGAAAATATGATATCACGAGCCTCGCGAACGTAACCGTGATTTCGTTATATCATTACGAACGATACTTACGAGCATGAGTAATTATGTGCGCTATCGCAAATATCCATGTTTGCAGATACATTTGCCGCGACCAAATAAATCTGAAACAGCAACGATGAAAATAGTTGGCGGTATCTGTTATGCTCTAGGACGAATCCCCGAATTAATTAAATAGAAGCAAAAATAATATTTTAGTACATAGATTTATGTATTTTGAGTTGATAAAGCTAGAAAGAAACTACTTAATATTCTCACACGGTCCTGTGGCGCAACGGATAACGCGTCTGACTACGGATCAGAAGATTCCAGGTTCGAATCCTGGCAGGATCGATGGCGTCATATTTTTGGCAATACAATTGTATGCAATTTTTAAAAAGTAAAAATTGACACGGAGGAAAGAGAAGTGTCATAAAACGAGAGTAGCGTGTTTTAGAAGTCATGTGTTGTTTTATTTAAGAGATATGATGGACATATAGTTTCTTTTTGTTTTTGCAAGCGTTCGATTAGCAGGGGCCAAAATTGATTTTATAAAAAGAAATACAGATAAATAGCTCGAGTCTAATTCAATTTTGAACGATCGTTTCAATGGGAATCGATGCGAAAAACCTGCGTAATCATTAGTATCGCGTGTTGAAGTTTCGTGCCGCGTTGCACGTACGGTAATGTCGGACAGTTATTGATCCTTTAAAGATTATTGTACTGGTCTGCTTCTCCCCTATAACTATACGCCTATCCCCTATAAGCATGAAACAGGACAAAATGCATATTTCAGCGATTGTTTTTCGGAAGTATATAATTTGTAAGATTCCTCGAAGAAAGAAACTGTTTTTTTTTCTTTCCAGAGCGATAACTTGGAGAAACTGATAACGTAAGCGACAACATGCGAGCTTAACGTTACAACATTGTGCATTTTATCATGTAATTTTCAATCGAGTGGTGATTACGAATTGAAGTAACATGTTTTCTTTTTCATCTAGCGTTATCAAGACACGATAAACATCAGGTATAAATATATTATTTTCACAGCTTACTGTATCAATTGTGATAAAAAAAACAAGTCATAAAATCATTCGAAAATTTTACAACTTTATTAGTACAATTTTGGGTTAGAAAATGACAGTTACGACTTATCCTGTAAAAATACTATTCATCTATGTAAAATTCATCTAGTGTGTCTATAGACATTGAACTCGTCGGCCTCGTCAGTCTTGGTCTCGCCTACAGTCGTGCGTGAAATTTCACGCATATAAAAGACTAGTTTACGTACGTGGCCATATAGTTAAATGTTTTTTAAACGTGTTACGCAATAAAACCTTCAGTGGTTATTTATAGAATATCTTTCAAATGTACTTGTAATCAAGAAAACTGGTAGTGTCTCGCGCCAGTGTACGCGAAACCGCGCGCGCGTACCTCTGTATCTTTACGCGAGCTGACGAGCCGAGAGTTTCCGAAAGATTATCGAATCTCAATAACGCCTGAACTGATCTAGTTTCAAGTAGACTCAAGCGATAGCTTGTTCGTATTATGTAATCAAAGTGTTTTTATTTCTCGCTTACGTGTCCTGCGAGCGAAGATATAATGCAATTATTAATTACGATGCAAAGTGCAATGTGAAATTTTCATTTAGGAAACATCGTCGTCATCGTTTGTACCGCTCGCTTTTCCACTGTGAGATTTTCTATTAGGGAAAGATGCGGACAGAACGTGTTGCGTGAAGAACTGATGACCGCACTGACGGGCCAAATATCGCATATACAGAAAGTTTTATTTCTCGAACATAGTTTTTTTAATCCAAACTTTCTTATAAGTATATGATTGAATTCATCAAAAAGAAACTTCTTATTTGGTGAAGAAAACTTCAAAATTTTGAAAAGATCTTTTGAATGGTAAGAATATTTTGAAAAATTATAAAATGTTTTTGTCACTGCTTCGTGATACTGCTGTCATTCAACTGTTAATTAAAAAATTATTTTCTAGTTCGTTGATATTCGCACCGAAAGAGAAACACCGATTTTCTAAGGGTTATTTTATCCCCTAAAAGTGCGAAATGCATATTAAAAAAAATACATGTCACTTATTTTGAGAAAAAAGCAAGATATTGAGAGCTCATCAAAATTAGAGGGGGACACCTCTAACTCTCCCCTTGTTAAAAACATTGGATTAACAATTGTTAATAAAAATGAAATGATCATAATTTCGTTGGAAGTCGTACGACGACATTCCGTTTTTTCGACCAAACATCTCGGTGTACGTTGCGAGGGTTAGCTCTGTTTCTAAAGCGAAGAGAATAATATAAACAGCTCTCCTATATGCAAACAGGTTGCTCGGCTCAAGCGCGTGGTCGTGGTGCTGCCAGCAGTTCTTTGTATGCTTTCTTGCCGGCAGTGCGTTGTGAGGCTTCCTCCTCTTCAGAGTGTTTGCGTATCGTCGAAAGTAAAGTACGCGAAGAGTCTACTTGAGCATCGCTATCCGCGATAACCTGTCGACACGAGGTGTGTATATCTTTAAAGAAGATACAACAGACAATAAGCACGCGTAGAAATTATCTTTCAAATATTTTTTAACTTCTTTCCGTCTTAATCCGAAACTTTTAATTACCTGGCGATAAAAGTCTTTCGGTTTTGAGATAAAGAATGAAACAAGTTCCTTTTTTACAGCACATTATTTATGACCTGATATATTTTAAGTTCTATATAGAAGTCAGGCGAAAGTATATACGAATCTAAGTAACAAAAGTAACAAACAGTTCAAGGTTGTTGACAGGGACCGAACACTGACACATCGCCGACGTGCCTCCCAGTGAGAAATGATTCGTCGATCGACGTCGAAACGACGTCGAATCGACATCGACACCGTCGAATTGGCGTCGATTCGACGTCGTTTCGACGTCGATCGACGAATCATTTCTCACTGGGCTACGTTCGTTTGGTTTCTTCGGTCTTTATTAAACCGTTTTCTTTAGGCTCTCTCTCGATTTAGCTGTCTCGCGTATCGTTTTAGCAAGAGGTTAAAGCTCGAAGCCGGTTCAGCTTCGTATCTCCACGGAATGCTCTCAATTTCCGACTTGGACCAACTCTGACGTTCCTCGACATTACATGGTCGATCTTGGTCGTTCGTTTCGTATGTTTGTTTCATTAATCCGTAGACAACGAGTCGACGCTTACCTTGCCTGATGTAAGGATAAAGGAAAGGAAAGAACACGTATATGTGTAAACACAAGGCCTTCCTTAGCCAGGTTCGACTACGTGTTTACGGATTATATTTCGGGCAACGGTCGAATTCCCCTTTCCGATCTCTGCGTGAATAACACACGACGCCAGTTGTTTTTGTTTCGACATCCAGCCCAGCCCAATACGTCCATTGCAGGTGGCGCCACATCCGAGCTAGGACGAAGTGAGCGGGCGAAGTTTTATTGCTGACAGGCGAAGTTTATCGGCGACGAGCCACCGCGGTAGTTGCCGCGCCGCGCGACCGTGGCTTCGCAGAAGGACGCTCGGCGAGAGCGGGCGGCAGCGACGGTGGCGGGCAGTGGCAGCGGCGAAGGAAGAGCAGAACGACCGAAAAGAGCTCGTCGTGGACGGATAGTTGAACGGGATGCGGGCGGCCGACGTGCAGACGAACAGGAAAAGCTTCCGCATCCCCGGTACCGTGACTCTGCGCGAGTGCAGCGTCGTCATCATCGGCAGTACGTGCAGGATATGCGGCAGGGCCTTCAAATGCGAGAGCGACGTTAATCTGCACGCGCGATGGCGGCACAACGCCGGCCTGGGATCGTTGTTGGAGATGCTGGGCGGCGAGAAGAATTTCGGAAACGTCGAGCAGAAGTGCGACGTGTGCGACATGTTCTTCGGAGCCGTCGCGGATCTGAGGTCCCACAAGCGGCTGATACACAGGCATCTCGTGCCCAGACTCAAGGGGAGGCGCCGTAAAGAGTTGGTGCGCGTGAGATTCAAGCTCAACGGTGTGACGACGACGGACGTGATTCTGGATCGGAGATACATTAAGTTGCAGAACGGCGATACCGGGTGTACCGTCGACGTCTGCACGCAAACGGCGGCCTCCCTCGAAAATGAGAGAGCCGAGAGGAAAGATGACCGCGCTGGAAATATCGATTTGCCTTTCCCGAACCGCGCTGTGGACAAGAGTCACATGCAATACGACAGTACACAGCTCGACAAAGCTGCAAATCGATACACTGTAGGTAAATTCGCGTCTACCAAAGGCGACGCGATAGCGAGTCGCGTGACTACAGGGGGGAAGAGTCTCGCAGAGATCTCAAATACGTCGCATAAAGACACTGACGCAAGCGACGACTTCTGCGAAGGTCACAAAGACCGTTGCTATCTCGCTACACAGGAAACCACAACGAACGTGTTTATCAAAAGTTTGGCCGATAGCAAAGACATTCGCGATAAGGATGACTCACCGAGGGTGAACGAGAGAGAGGGAAGAAGCGTACAATGCCAGAACGAAATTCCATTCGACCACAACAAGTTCCGTCTCGCCTACCAGCTAGAAAAATCCGACAAAGCGTTGCCTATTAAGATGTTCAAAGAGAATCCTTGGCCCAGCGAGAACCCTTACTATCCCATCAGGTGGTCTGATGAAGTAGCAGGGACCCAAAAGACCGCTGGATTGGCCAGTTCTTTTATAAATTCCATGGACATTATTAACAATGGAAAGAGTTTCGGCTTTAATGGAGACGCGACGAAGCGGAGGCAACCATTATCGCCTTTATTGTCTCGACTTTACGGAAAAACCGAGTCTACGAAGGCTAAATCGAACGTCGACGACGACGTGCAGGAGGTGCTGCGAATAACGAGGGGAAATGCGCAAAACGACATTAATCACGAGTCGCCTAATCGCATGGAAAGAGAGATGCTGGTACAAAACACGATAGGCGACACGTTTACGCTGCCCCCGCAGCTGGAGCCGATTATTTACCCAGAAAAATGCGGCGACGCGTTCTCGAATTTCGAACCGTTCGATTATTCGTCGTTCGTGACCATGACTGAAAGAGAATATCAAGAAATTCTAGAGAATTCGTTCAATAAAAAGCTGGGTATTTACTTCGAAGGTCTGCACCATTACGGAATCAGACTCTACAACGAACTGCCAGAAATTAATAACAACTCTTTAGAAGATTACGCGGTATATGCTCATCAGAATTTCATTGAAACGTGGAAGCAATCGGACGAGCCGTCGTCCAATGAACTGAAAGCAAACGACAACGAAGTTGCGGTTGTACTAGACTGAATACGTGTGTTAGCAAAAACTTGTTAATTGGTGTGGGAGGTACCATTCCATCGATAAAGGCCAAACAACGAAAGTGCCAATAAATTCTTTCGTTTTCATCTTAAATTTTTATTTTTGTTTAAATTAAAAAATATAATATTAATATATATTTTATGTGCTTTCTCTTTACATACATGTTGAGATTTATCGCACATATATAGCGTACATATATACATGTAAATTCGATAATAAGAGCAAAATATTAATTTTTAGTTATTCCTTAATTGCGTTTTTCTTTATTTAAAATAGGTTGTACAAAATTGTTTGCGTGATACTTAAATCGAAGGTGGGCTCAAGTTTCATTTTCGAGAAGAAAAATTGTCGGCTTATCATGATAGATTAACGATATATCGAAACATATCGTCTGTAGGAATATTACATCGTAATTGACATAAGGACACCAGGATATAAAAAGCTGTTTGAAAATTATTCCTCGATGTTCAATCTAAGTGTGAACACACAATTGTTGATCTTGCGCAATTATGGACTCGTGCTACAAGAATTAATACAAGCTTCTAAAAACGTCGGTAAGATTTATAAAATTGTTAATTAAAAATCTTTAAGATGTATGAGGGACAAAGAGAGAATTATTATCTTGCTGGTATATGTAGATCTATGCAAGTAAAAAAAACGTTACATGTTTTTTTAAGTTTTTCCTCTTTGTTACTTTTAGTTGTGCAATTGAATAATTTTCAGCAATTTTGTAACAATTAGCCATGTTAGTCGTGCGGTTCCACTAAAACTGGACGATTATAGACGTCTGATTTTGCTACATTCCTATTTACATGTATTAGTATAAGCATATGTATAAATTTTTATACCTTTCGTAAGAAACTGCGTTACGAGAAATATGTAGGTTCATGTACATGACATCTAAAGGTACAAAGAAATTCTTTTTAAAATGTCCGTTTTCACGACTCCTCTTGTTTTCGTCGTCTTTGTCAATATCGCGCACAATACGTGTCAATTAATTTTTCTAAGAGTAATACTATTGCCAAAATGTCGTTTTCCCTAGCACTTAGGCATATCAACGGCGCTCCTACTTTTTCGAGAGGAAGATACAACGTTATAGAAAATTGATATTTTAGGATTTTAACATACTACATGTTTGTAATAAATATTTGTTGAAAAACATCAATGTGTCAGTAATTCTCTCTACTTTTCCGTAGTGTTAAAAGTTTGGTGAACACCCACGTCAGTGAGGCGATTTCTACGAAGGAACAAGAAAGGATTGGCATGATTAAAGTCGCGCTAAAAGATCGATCCATCTACCGTGGTGATATCGCGTGTGGCCAATAAAAACGTCCACTCGTTTTACCGTTGCTGCTTGCGTGACTTCCTCGTCGCTTCTCGTCGATGTCACGCATTCGGCACGCACACACCACGCGGCGAAGCCTCGAGGGAGAAAGGGTAGAGAGAGAGAGAATTTCCGGTGACACCACCGCCGGCTTTGATACGTAACGATCGGGTCGCTCCGCTTCCTTCGAAATAGAGCACGTTACTTCCCGCCGTGCGATTACACTCGAGATGCAGGATGCAACACGATCCACAGTATTGCACAGCAGCCGCACGCCAACTGATAAGCTCGCTGGACCTCATCGTCGGACCCCTCTACCGCGGCCCTCTCAAGTAGGAGAAACCGATTCGATCTTATGAGTCACGAAGGGAGAGAAAAGACGGTCATCGAATCGGTGCATCAAAGGCGCAATAGGCGGAGCAGAGCTCTGATAATTGATACTAAATTTGTTGAAAATATTTTTAACGTCGAAAATGTACAACTGTAAAACTAAAAGTCTTCGGAGTGTCGATCGAGGTTGAGGTAAATAGGCATAAGTACAATAGGAATAATAGTGAAATGTAAATTAAAATCGTGACATCAGACAAAATGATCATGCGACTTATTGTTGGTGTCCGATTGCGAAAGGATTGCGAGAAAATGTGCGCGAAGTAGCCTTTAAAATAATGGGTCCACAGCGTCGTATTTATTACATCACATTTTATTCCACGAATTTCTCAGCGTGTCGGTTATTGCATTCCGTTGTATTACATTTCACAGATTCGGACGTTATACGGACGATTCACACACGAGGGGACGTTTCATCGAATTTCAATCAGTCCTCTTCCTGTTTCGCTCGCATTTTGACCCGCTTCAATTCCTCGTAACGCACGACGTGCTCGTTCACCGTCGCGCACAGATCCCCGTTGTTCTCCATTGTCAGCTCGAGGGCGGAGAACAGGCTCTCCAGCAGATGACTCGGCCACTCGTTGGTCGACTTGACTATCGTTTCGACCAAATCCTCAATTTGCGAGCCGTAGAGTTTCTCGGTGCTGGACGGTGCCGAAGACGCGCCGGATGTCCATCTCTGCCGTTTGAACGGCGGCCCCTCGCCGGACGCGTTGTACTCTCTCTTGACGGTCGTTCCTAGGAATCGTCAAGCTTGTAAAAGTATACAAATCCATTGCGATCTAAGCAATTGATGTGCCAATAACTCAATTCTACGAGATCGTATATATATGTAAGTTGGACTTATGAGATTGTCTATTAGCAGTTACTCGATCTGGAAGACGTCGAGTGCGAGGACCGTACAGCTCCGAGCTTATTTCGCGCTTTCGATTGCGTTTTAATCTTTCTGGCCGTGCGTGCCGCGCTAATCTCTTCGAGACCATTACGATGCACATTAACAACGGGACAAATATTGCACGTAAAACTCGTACTCTCAAATGTACCTAGTAATCCGCTGGAGTCGACAGGGTGTACGTGACTCCTCAGCTTCCTGTTTTCGCCCTTGAGTCTCTTCGGGCACACGATTGACGCCAGGTCCGCTGCGTTCGTCAGAAATCAATTTGTTATCAACGAGCATACGAGACCTGATAGTAAAGTTCGCGAACCCGTCACCCGCTACAATTACCTGCACACCTTATTGCTAATTGCCACCGTGGTCACCCTTTCGAAGTAATCACCTTGGGAAGCTACACACCAATGCCAACGCCTCGTCCACCCTTCAAAGCAGTGTTGGAACTATTGTGAAATGGCTTGCAAAGCTGCCGTCGTGTTACTCTTAATGTCATTAATAACGAAGTGCGTTTCCTTCATCTTTGAGAATGAAAAAAAACTCGGGCCAGATCCGGTGAATAGGGAGGGTGTTTCAACACGGTTATTCGCCTCTGAGCTAAGAATTCTCTGGCAGATAGCACCGTGTGAGCGACAGGCTGGCATCGGCGTGCAGTTTTATATAAGGGAGGTACTTTGAAGGGGACCACAGTGATAATTAGCAATATATAAAGTATGTAGTAATTACACCGTGACGAGTTTGCAAACTTTATTGTCAGCACGCTCGTACGCTGCTCGTTTCAGGCGGATAATTACCTTGCGAGGAACGATCGGACAGACCGTCGGAGCTGCCGTTGAACAGTTGCTTGAAAAAAGAACGTCGCTTTTGCGGCGAGGGCGATCTCACTTCGTACACCTCGCCGCGATTATCATCGTACAATTCTGCAATCTGTGACAAGTGGTGCAAGCAGTCGATAATTGTGCACTTATGAGCAAACGTATTGGAAAATTCAGTATTCAGAGATCGATCGTTTAAGAGACTGGCGCTACCCATTTCACTCGAGTCTGGGCCGCTATTACTTTTAGAATAATTCTACAAATATTGCTTTCGACATCAGTCTTCTTCGATATGCCGTTTCGAAAACTACTATCTCAACCGAATGCACTTGCCTGAGATTACATTTAAATCCAGAGATAGTTACTTAAACTTTGATGTGTTAAATATGTACGAAACAATTGCGCAGAAATGTATGAAACGTGCAGAAGCAATGAGAGTAAAGTTGAAAAGACAAAAAGGATGTCAACCTCCGATGGCAGATTAACGTGTCGACGGTGGGCGGTCATTAGCACGAGCATGTGCACCGATCGATCGAGACTGCGCATTAAGGAGGTAAAAACCACTCTCGCCGTCTCATCCACCAGGTCCCACCAGGTCAAGACCCCGGGCATGTACAGCAACGCCGGCAGGGTGCGACGCGCGGTTTTAATCTTCTGTTATTACAATAAAACGACTGTCGTCTAACGTTCGTCCAGCGTTCTTTCAAGGGCAGGAAGTTAAAGGCGGTTTCTACTTGTATTATGATCTCCTCGGCCGCCTTGCCCGTCTCCTCGAACAGCGTCGTGACGTCCAGGATGTGGCACGGCAGGTGTTCCAGGGTGTGCAGCAACGCCGGTCCCAGATGACGAGTGTGAGAATTGTCGTCGCCGCACAGCAAAATTCGCGGGCAACCGCTCGACTTGGACGTGGCCTTGCCTGTACTGCGTGGTCCCGCGCGAATCGTAATTAATTCTCGGACCCCTTTGGGGACGCGCTCGCCTGGCGACACTTACATGTTGTCGGAGGTCAGCATGCCGGCCGGACAAAGTGTCTGCAAGCGCGACAGGACTGCCACTAGGTCCTCCTGCAACAGAGGCTGGATCTTGAGGGATAGACTCTTGATCGGGGCGACGATGACGCGATGCGACGCCGGAACGATGTTCTGGCGCGCCTTCAGGAAATCTTCCTTTTCCACCTTGACGAGAAATTGACGAGAATTTCTCTTAACTGTTGCATCTCGTACAAGAATAATATAAAATATACAAAATAATATATATCTATTACTTTTACGTAAAGTCTACTTTCCTGCAAAGTAAACAATTTTATTTTGTTTGCTATGTCAAGTGGAATGTCTTACTTTGAGGTGGCGCTCGTTGATGTGATACTTGGACTTGGAATTATAGATCTGCGGATAATTTCTGCGAACGGAACACATGACTGCCTCAGCGCAAAGGGCCTGCAGATCGCTGCCGCAGAATCCTAACGTTTTCGATGCCAGATACGCCAGGAACTTCTGCGCCGGTTTCTGCTTCCAGCTTTTGATGTGCACCTATCGTCGTAAGACAAACATTAACGTTACCCTCTTGCTTGCACCGTCTTCAATGTATTTTGTGATATTTTGCTAGCGGCACAATACCGAAAGGATCTCTTTTCTAGCGCTGTAGCAAGGCAACGGGAAATACAATTCCTTGTCGAATCTGCCGGGTCTCCTCAGCGCGGGATCTATCGCGTCGATTCTGTTGGTCGCTCCTATCACTATGATCTCGGAATTACTGTCCAGACCGTCCATCAGAACCAAGAGGGTGGAGACCACGCTGGCGTGAACAAAATCCTGCCGGCTGGACCTCACGGGCGCGAGACCGTCGACTTCGTCGAAGAATATGATGCACGGTTTCGTTTGTTGTGCCTGGAGAGGGAGACGCTTATTGCTTCGGATCGAAGCTGAGGGAGACCCCCAGTCAGGGATCGATACGCAAGAGTTTTCACGTGGACTCGATCTTACGGTACAATCAAGTTTTAAACAAGAATCATAAGTTGATCCTTTGATATTTATCCTCGAAGTTTGGATGTTACACGGATTAAAGTGATAAGCGCACGGAATTATCATATTAAAGGGACCGAAGGGACTTCACCGACCAGTGAGAAAATCTTTTCGAGCTTCTTTTCGCTCTCTCCGACCCACTTGCTAAGACAGTCGGAACCCTTGCGCGAAATGAAGGAGACCTTGCGCTCGGAATTGCTGCATTCTGTCGCCAATGCGCTGGCCACGAGAGTCTTTCCCGTTCCTAACGAAGAAAGGAAGCAAGGGAGGATCCAGTGCTCGCATCAAGCAATACTCGGGCATTACCTGGCGGGCCGTAGAAGAGTAAACCGCGCGGCGGTCTGAGATTAAATTTAGCATACACGTCCCCGTACATCAACGGGAACAGGACCATCTCCTTCACGATTCTAATGTGCTTCTCCAGTCCTCCGATGCAGGAGAAGTCCTTCGCCGCGCCGGACATCCTTCTCCCTTCTCCAAGAGAGTTCGAGGACAGCCAAACCGATGTATCCTCCACTTCTGTGCAATCAATGCGAAAATGTCGAGTTACTATGGCCGATGGCTTGGTACAAAAATCCGACGATTTATTCGCGCATCCTGGGATGATGTTACGACCGGTATCGTTACTGGAATTTTTACGCGAATGTTATTCAGTGTTATGAGAATCCACTACTCAATTTCAACATTATTCCTGACATTATCGTCAGCTAACAGACGGGAAAATCGTACGGGATCGATTGTCGTATCGATACGACGGCGTTCGCGTGTTTCGCACTACGAGGGTTAAATGTGCGAAATCCTTCGCGTTGAGATAAGAAGGAACGGACGAACAGGGATGCAAATAAATCGCCAGCAAGTCGGTTACATTACGAAATTTTTATTTCACTATAATATATGACAATAAAATGTATTACTTATATGATAAAATAAATAAGGCAGTGGATACATCTCGTCGCTTTTCGTCCGTATCTTTTATAACTTCGTCGTGTAATGCGTCTATATTCTTAAGGCTACCATCTACTCTGCGTGTGTTCGTCGTCAGTAGAAAAAATTGCCGGACACCTGATATGCTACACAGCTCAAGCTCGAGCGCGTTAATACTTCGTTCTTCGTAGAGAGTAGTCTTAAGGGACGTTATTGTGAGAGAAAACAGAGAGAAAGAGACAGATAAGTGTGGTCGTTCGTCCGTAATCGGCAGTGTTTGCAAGCTTCTCGATCCGATAGTGCATACGTCGTTTGTACACGTGTACGTATAACGCGAAGTTCATGCGGTGGTAGCCACGAAATGACGGGATGCCGAAGAGTAACTGCGCCAAGAACGTAATCGCGGAGAACGGCCGGCCCTTTCGGATTCGTTTACCTCGAAGCGGAATGTAAAATCTGTAATCGCTAGAAGGAAAATCGTATGTACACATCCGTCCGACTGCGAGATTATCGGTGCAAATTTTCCCGTCTTTTGCTTGAACACTTTGCAACAATTGTAATTGTACAGTGGGGGGGGGGGGGGGTGAGTTTCGCTGGCGTGCGTTATCTGTCGTTAAGCTTCTTTGGCAAATACCCGGATACTTGTACGATCCCCGTCGGCGGAGCACCATCGTCGCGAGAGAACTATCGCTGATAATTCGCGGTGTGAAGCGGCTATTCTTTATTCCTCCCTGCCCTTTCATCCTTCTTCGTTCTCAATCGGGGCTGAGAATCGAGAGCGTTGTACACCACATGCATTAATACGAACGCCGGGAAAAAGCGAGCGGTTTCTTCTTTCCTCTTAATTTTTTTTTTCCTTCCAAACCTCAGTCTTTTCGATTCTACTTACTAGAGAATTTCGCAATACAACCGAATTTCGACGAACGATCCAATCGCCGAACGGAACGAATTCTTATCGCGCTAACTACAAAGATTTCCTCGCTACGAATGTCATCGCCCGACGCGAGAAACGAATATACTACTAACAAAACTTGTTGATTGCCCCCTGTCGCGCTCCTGCGAACGAAAAATTCACACTTTAACAACAACGACGTATCCCTAAGAAAGATATTATTCGTGGATCACATGAGAGATTTATTGATAGAATTTATTTACTATAGCTCCTATTCGATCGTACGGTTTTGAACAGCAAAGGATGGATCAGCGCCCTGTATGTATGTTGCCTCCGACATTATTGTTTAAACGGTTATTGGAGAGAATCTGCTTTTTAGGCTGTCCGAGCCTAAGCGAAAACGAGTTTTCCTTTCGTCTTGTCGCATATACGACTTTATCTGTGGTAACTAATCGTTCACAATTACAGCAAGTCACAACCAATACACGAATCTGGGGAAGGCAAGTTATATCCTAAATATTTGCTAATATTTATACATGTACATATAACACAAAGTGATCCCAGAATCGTCACAGTTCTTCTTGGATACTCGATTTCCGAGTAATAAGAACGGCAGTTTTTCTCTTAAAAAAAAAAGGGATAGCTTCGTCAATTGTAAAGTGACTTGTAAAAAGTAAAATAATTCTTTAACATTTTTTAAATAAAAATAGGAAAACTAAAGGATCGAAATAATAAGAAAGAAAATTAAATCGAAGACAGTGTGATAGTCCTGGGATATTTTGTAGAGCGACGACCAGATATTCGAGAGTGCTTAGGACCGATTGGAAGTCTCATGTTTTGTAATCGTTTCAGATTTTAAAGTTGATAGCACTTATCTCTTCTAAAAACTTTAGCAAATGGAGTGAAAGTTTTTCCTACGCCAATTCTTCAAGTTGAGACATTTAACATGTATTAATTGTTGCAGCACATTTTTGAGAATCTAATGCGCGAACAATCAACTTTCAAGTTATTCAGAGCCTTCGAAACTGATCTAAACATGACTAACTAGCCGCCGCTACACCGTATATATATATTTTTTTTTTAATCGAGGTATTTCATATTTATAGCAGTGTACGTGTGTGTATATTAAGTGCCCTGTTTCCATCTTCAACGAGTAAAACCTTATACTTTTTACAACTTTGGTCTATTTAAATTGCAGATTACTAGTCACATTTCGAATATACCTTAAGTTATTTTGTATAAACTGAATTGCATTAATATAAGATAGATCAAAAGTTATCATCACAAGAAAAAGACCACATTCAGCTGGGACAATCATTCGGTTAAAATAAGAGTGGCAGAATTTTGATGAAACAACGATGTTACGTGAATATACAATCATTTTTCTTTAAACATAAAAATTTTCGTGACTTTATGTTTTAAAACTAAATCCCCTGAAATAGGTTTTTTCAGACAATAAGCTTTGATCTACTTGGTTTTATACGTCAAGTGTATGATGATCTTATACTAGGAATAATTTGAATTGATACATTCTGTAGCGCGAGGTATATCTTGATACACGAAGAGAAAACCACAATCTTAGAGGAAATAATATCGTACTTCGGCTTTCTCTGCGTGTGTGTAAATTTGTATTCAAATTCAAGACGAAATAATTTTTTGACAGCTATGAAATAAAATGTCGAGCTTATAAATATTTAAAATAACTAAAATTCAAAGTTGAAGATGAGCGTCTTTATGTAACAAAGATTACCTGAACTAACAAAAAGAAAGTTAAGTACACAATGTACCAATTCTAGCGTTTCAATTAACAGTTTATGTATAATCGACATAATGTAAAAACTTGAAAGAGAAATATTTCATGCAAAATGTGTACACGTGTTTGTATGTATACATTAAATTACCGAAGATTAAATTAAAAACTTATATTCTCTTGCGTTATACGTATTATATATTGTCAGACAATAAGTTTTTAATTAGATTTTCTATGTGTCTAACCTGAAATCTTTCGTACAGCTGTTCACAAATAAAAGTCCACGATTGATTATCCTAAAGGAATATTATGCAAGAATGTTAGCGATTTAGTACTTATTTGTTTTACTTCATTTTATCACTTTTATCGCTATGATATATAAAAGTGATTTAATCTCAAAATTAAAAATGATTTTGAATGTTATGGTAAAAATAATACTATTATCTTCAAATCATTAATGAAATTTGCACATTTCATTAAATTTAGATCAAATAAATTTTATTAAAAAAAAAGATATAAATGGCAGCAATAAAAAATGACGGTCTAACTCGTTCTTTTTTATTATGTTAGCCCATATATGATTAAGAGTCACGATGTATTTGTGTATTCAAATATCAAATAATCACTCGATTGGACATTTACAACATTTTTCGAGTATATACAAAAAATCCAATCCAATTGCTGGAACTCAATATTCGACTAAAATTAATTGCCTGTTATCTTACACAACAAATGCGCTTGCTTTGCAGATACATGCTGTTATTCACCTAAAGATTGGCAGTATAACAACTAAGAAATAGCATTCCAAAGTTCCGTTTGATACAACAATGATAATATCCGGTTTTGCGTTCAGTATAAATATACAAAAAAAGACCTTCTGACGTGTGACTGAAGGTATCGCAATGGCGTCATAATGTAGCACGTTTGTCTTGTTAGCAACATGCATTTTCTCTCATACACCGTCATACCTGTGTATTGTACTCTACTGACGTTGTGACTTGTACTCTGTAAACTTTTCCACTTCCTTGAGCAAGTCCTGAAAGTAACAATATTTATTGGAGTTAGGTCGATATCGTTCATCGTTCGGTAGTTTCTGCGGCTTTTACAATTAATATGTTTGTGTATTTACCTTTGGCAGTGATTTTCTATCGTATTTCTGAGCATATTTCCCAACGCATCTGCTTAGTTGCACATAGATATCGCACAATACCTCGACAGGAAAGTCCTTCGTTACTTCGACGGTAAAATGCCACGCACTTTCGAGCTCGCTCTTATCAACTACGATTTTCTCGTTTTCTTCAATCTTATCTCGGCTAGTATCGCTTTCGATGGCGAACGACAAATCGTCAGTGCTTTCGCGTCGGGAGGATGAACTCGAATCGCCATTTGCTACTGGCTTATCTTCCTCTATGAAGCATATTTCCATTTGATCAAGATTATCTATTCGTTGATCCGTGCAGTTTTGGCTCCCCTTTGAATTCTCATTTTGCGAATCGTTTTCTGAATCGGTATTGTCGTACAACCCCATATGCCCATTTAAAACGCTATTTGCCTCGGTTTCAAATTCTTGGAATTTTTCTAGGTCGATACTAGTGGTAGTTTCATTGTTTAACGTTTTATTCGCGACTGCTTCGGTAACGCTGTCATCGAAAGCGATCTTTCGCTTCCTGTGGACTTTTTTGACGTAGCCGCGAGCCCAAGCGGGTATCTTACGCTTCCTCGAACTACCGAATTTCTTTCCGTTCACAACGAGAGAATGACTAGAATTTACAGACTCCTTCTTCTCCGCTCGCTCATTCGTGGAAGTGGATTCCAGCTTGGAATTTTTGCTTTCTTCCCCGTTATCACAAGTGTTCTCTAAAATTCGTCGATTCTTCGAAATTTCGCGACATTTGTCTTCGAAATCGGAATCCAGCTCAGCTTTTATTAAAGCGTAAGCGTTATCACGTAAGGAACACGCTCGATGTCTTATCAATTTATCCGCAGGATCCCTGTGAGAGGAGAAGGCAACGTGTTAGTGACGAGTAAAAAATTCATACTCTAGCATTCCATTGATAGAAAGCATGATGACTAAATGGGAGTGGTCTTCAATGGATGCGTGGTGAATTAGTCATAATGGTGTGTCTAGCAAAACATCAACGATTATGGTGCGCTCTAAATTGAAAACCACTATTATCTACGGAGCGATAACAGCATTACGGATAAACAGCAAAAAGCTCAACTACCTCTTTAATATTCCGAGGGAGGGCCTATCACGTAAGCTGACATGAAAACACACAATATGAACGTCAGTATAGAAAAAGACAGTATCGCTAGAGAAGAACCTTAAGTTATAGCATAATATCAGTAACTGCTTCTGCAACGGAGATAATTCTCGCGCAAGACTCTCGTACGACTGTTTTCCCTGACCGGACAAGAAAGAACTTGAGAAAGATCGCTTCCTGATTTAGCTACTGACCTGTCTGGGTTATATTCTAGAGCATTTTTGCATATGAGATCAATGTCGTCGAGAAACTCGCGGGCGCAAAGGTAGCAGTTCATATCGATCTTGGTCATCATCGTTTCCAGATCCATAGGCTGCTTTATTATCAGGTTGTAATCCGGTACCTCTTCCGTGTCCACCGGCTTCGTAAACATGAAAAATCTGAAACACATCGGTGCCGTTAAATCCCTCGGATAAACTGCTGAAAAAAAGGGAAACACTGAAAACAATTCGTACGACACTCACTGTCGATTTCTCGCTAGTTTAGCGCATATTTCTCTCAGGAAAATTCGTAACTCCCTCAACGATACTTCGTCCTTCTCGTACATGATCCTCTTCTCCTGTTCCGTCAATTTCTTTGGCAACGGATTCGGCGCTAGTGGCAGTGTTTCTAAAACCTCTACTTTGTTGCTTTTGATCTGTGGCTGTTTTAGACTCTGAATGATAAAGATGGGCCGGAAAAATTTCATTCTTTGTTCGGTGGTAGGAGTCTTCATGGAGTACACCTCTCCGCGTAATTCACTGAACAAGCTTTTTAATTGATCGGGGAGATCTTGATACGTTGCGTCACTCGTTGCGAGAATTAATATTGGCAATGAAGGATCCAGTGCTGCGATACGGCACAAGAAAACTGCTTTTACTGTTTCCGGCACGAGGGGCCACCATTGATTGATCGATCGAATGTAAATTATGGACGGTACATTCCTAGCCGATTCGTTGAATACCTGTAATATTTGAGAATTATTCATATTTACCTCTAATATTCTCAATTATCAAAATAAAAACTTGTCTTTCTTTGTCAATGTCGCACATAAATTAAAAGAATCCTAAAATAGACAAGATTGCATCGTTTCGTCATTTTCAGTTGTCACGAAGTTAACATGTTTTGAAACTTTTAGATAAATACACAAGCTTCATAAATACATAAAAGCTTAATATTGCAATGTTATTTGCTAATATTAACCTGCACGCAAGTTTCTTCAGGGGATCGAGCACTTTCTGCAAACAATGTGCTAACGTCTAAAATCTGAACAGGCAGATGTTCCATACAATATAGCAATGCTTGAGCTAAATGAGGTCCTTGACCCTCAGACAGACTGCCACCCGAGATCAATAATCTTGGGCGATGAATGCCCTTGGCATTCCTCATTCTATAAAAAGAACCCACGATATGTAGATAACAATTCAGAACTTTTGTCAATAACTTTATCATCGCGGTGTAAAGAATAATTACTTTGCCATTGCTGGAATTACACCTTGAGGAAATATTCCTCTTATTAAATTAAGTAATTCTTCCAATGGAGGTGCTAATAGCGGTTCCATAAAAGGCTGCAATTTTCTTCCTGCGCATGGAGCTACTCTATGCGATGACGGGACGAGCGTAGAGCTCGCTTGCATAAAGTCACGTTTCTTCACCTGTTAATTAATATAATTAATATTAATAACTTTTAAAATAAAATTCGGATTGTACACCGATCGTTATTTCTCTTATTACGAAACGTACTTCGACTCTATCCGGATCCAGCAATAATCTGTCGTTTGTCATATAAATCTGCGGGTAAGTTCTCCTTAGTCCCTGCAGCACTGCTTCAGTGCACAAGGCTCTCAAGTCTGAGCCGCAATAACCAGTCGCCTTCTCCGCCAGTATCTCCAGTAACTGATCGGACGGTGGATTTTTCCACTTACTAACGTGAATTTTCAAAATTTCCAATCTCTCTTTCATGGCCGGTAAAGGAAAAAAGAGTTCACGATCAAAACGGCCGGGTCTTCGCAGGGCTGGATCAATTGCATCAATTCTATTTGTCGCGCCGATAACTATAACCTTTTACAAGAGAAAAGAAAAAACTTTGAAAATTTTGTTTCTATGGTAGCAACAAATTACTCGAACTTGAATTGGAAAGAAGAAACGAATCACGACATTGCATTATCTCTTGGGGGAACAGAAATTTCCAAGTAATAAGAACAATAAGTTTTAAAACGACGTTCATGGTTCGCCAAAATGGAAGTTGGACAAAGAGCTTGCAAACTCTTGTTATAAAAATTGTAGTGAAACTAGTAAGAAAGCCAAAGTCCACATAGAACTGTAATACTTTCACATTAGAAGCCGAGGCTCAAATATGGGCATAATCATCAAAGAATTATTTTTGTTGTCACCATCTTCATTACCTGTCCTCTGTCACTGAGCCCATCCATGAGTGCTAAGAGTGTCGACACAATACTAGCATGTATCTGATCCTGCTTGGTACTTCTGACAGGTGCCAGACCATCTATTTCGTCAAAAAATATTATGGACGGTTTCATTTGTTGAGCTTGTTCGAACAACAATCTCAATTGCCGCTCCGATTCCCCGACCCACTTCGACAGACAATCCGCGCCTTTCCTCATGAAGAATGCCATCTTCTTGTTACCTTGACTGCACTCATTTGCCAGTGCTCTAGCTATTAGTGTCTTGCCGGTCCCTGAAATAAATTTCCGTACACGAAAATTAAAGCGGGCTTTTATTGCATCTTAAAAAAGATGCTAGGTTTGCTACTGTACATACCTGGCGGGCCGTGGAACAAGACGCCCTTCGGTGGAGTAACGTCGTATCTCTCGAAAACGTCGGGATACATCATGGGAAAGATAACCATCTCCTTAAGGCAGTGAATGTGGGTTTCTAGACCTCCAACGTCGCTAAATCTAATGTTAGTGTCTAATGTGATAGGATTTATGTCAGCTTTTCGATCTGGTGGACCGCCTTGTGGTATCGCCGATTGTCTGTAAAATATTCATTGTTCACATGTACCGACGAAAACAGTCACTCAACACATGTGTTTTCCTATGTGTACAAGTACCTCGCTTTTTTGCCTTTCTTCTTGTCATAGCGTTGAGGCTCGGAGTCACTGGAGTCGGCAGAACTCGTACTCTTACTCCTATGCTTCCGTCTTCTCATTGAATTACTAAGAACGCTTCTAAGGGCTCTAATAGAACGCCTGACCGGCTCTACGTTAGCTTGAAACCTATCTACAGTAGGCTTTTTTTGACGTAAACTATACTTCCTAGGAGGCCCGGGAGAATCCGAAGATTCGCTTAGATCGCTATCCTCCACTACGCATACAAATACGTCGTGTTACAATTTGGAAGAAAAACATGTCTGCGTGTTACGCTGGCAAATATCAATCTTCCCCTTACCCCTTGGCAGTTGTCGTTGAGCCGTGCGTCTAGTCCTCTTAACGCGCGAATACATATCCTCAAATCCCTGATGAAAAATAAACGTCAATTAAAGAAATATAGAAATTTACAGATCGCCATTTGACAAATGATGTACGGGATTTCGCTTACATCTTCGTTCACGTCTTCGTTTTCGTTCTCGGAATTGACATTCTCATTATTATCTGGCTTTTCGCTGGCGCGCGAGCTATCGTCGTCCACCTTCTCTTGTTCCACCTTAGGCTTCTCAGTTTTCTCACCTATTATACTTCCGCATAATCTGGTTACGGGACCCTCTCGAAAGGGGACCCCCCTGCTCGGGCTGTCAGACTTTCTCGTCCTATGGAAATATTTGGACTTCAGTCACATTAAGTTCCATTGAAGACGTGTATGTAAGCATTCGATCAAATTGCATGCCTGGTGTCCTTCTCCTCGTTCGCCGGCCTCGTCTGCTCGTTGACATCCTTTTCCGGTTCGGTCCTCTCTTTCAGCTCGCGATCGGTCCTAGCTCGAAGTTCCCTGCTGTTCTGTCGCTCGTGCTCCGTTCTGTCTCTAAGATGCCTCGTCGGAGTTTTATTAGGTGGATGATTTTCGCGAGATCTCAAGGGCATGCGGTCTCGGAGATCACGTTTTCTGCCAGGAACATCGTCCACCTCCTTGTCCGAAGAGGACGGATGTTGTTGAAACATAGGATAGCCTTTCAACGTTTGCGTACCTGTTAATTTTAACGAACATTCGAGAAACCGTCCATCCAGAAAGTATCCACTAGTTTCTGCGTTTCTGTAACTGGGGGGTTGCAACCCGCAGGAATTTTTCTTTAACCGAGCGATATCTCGCTCTATCCTATTAGGTTTTCGCGGGGAGGGGGAATCGCAAAGTATTAATTTAATGTTTTCTACATTTCGGGAATGTCATAGGGCTAAGAAGTTCTAAACGAACGTAATAACTGGGTCCGTTCTTTATAGCTGAACCGACTGCACGACCAGTCCAGAGTTCAACTATAATAGAACAGACCCAGGGCGTTTTCCAGCAAGGACACAATGTGACACAGTGTAACACTGTGAATCATTACATCCTTGTTTGCCAATGTTAGACAAGGATGAAACGATTCACTGTGTTACACCGTGTCCTTGCTGGAAAACGCCCCCACTGAAGCGACTGTACACATGTAACATTAAGGGTCAACTAGTTTGCACCGTAATTAAGTGGCGCGTTCCTTAACTACACACTAGACATGATCAAGCCGTTGTACCTAGAATCCAGCTTGTATTAAGATTGTCATAAGTCTGCATTCTATTGCGCGTGCTGCGGCGTACGCTTAGATTGCTTCTAGCCAAGTGCGAATTGGAGCGAGAGTGCGACCGCAGCTTGCGCAGGCTCTTGGGCCGCCTGACGCTGGATTCCAAGCTGTGGCTGCGAGGAGCAAACATCTCTTCCTCGGTGTCCATTGAGTCCGCTGTAGTGTCATCATCTGTCATTATCTGCGAAATTATTTACAAATACTGTACACAAGGCATAGCACGGAATACACGTACCTGTGTACTTTTAAGGACGCGTGTGCAAAACACCCTCGGTAGGCTCGGAGTAACGTGGGACGGTCTTAATTCTCTGTAGTGCGAACGCGAAGTACATGTTTCGTCAAAACGCCCCACGAAAACAAACGGCACATCGCCGCGAAATTATCGACCGCGCGAGTCCCGATGAATCTCCGAGTGATGTATAATTTTACACGATTAAATTGCATCGCGCGACACGCTCGAGTGCGAGAAGAAGGGGATAGTTGGTCCCAACAATAAACAACAGAACGGCACGTAATCCTCTCTTTCTCTCTCTCTCTCTCTCTCTCTCTCTCTCTCTCTCTCTCTTTCTTTCTCCCTCTCGCTCGCTCGCTCACTCTCTCTCTCTCTCTCTCTCGTGATCTTTCCGACGCATTCCTGGCAACAGTATAGCCCCGCGTTTCAATCGGCGCGACGACGATTACCTTCATCTGGCCAGTTCTTGTTGCCGACGCCCGAGGAAAGCGTTAGGGCCGCCGACGTCCGTCATATGCGTGGGATAGCACGGAGCTGCATTCACGACCGCGAGGGCACTTGCCTCCTTCCGGGAGAGCGCGAGCACACTGGGCACGATAATCGCCGTCTCACCGTCTCGACGGAGTTCGGGTGGCGCACGCCCGGGCTCGTCTGCCGCCGTCGAACGTCCGGTGGAATCTCGCGCGAGCAACGTTTACTGCCCGCCGAACGGCATCAGGGGACCGAGACGGCACGATTCCGGATCGAGTACAATTGCAAAACCCGTATCATCTGTACGCCGCACACATAGACGCGCGCCACGCACACAAACAAACGTGGACGCACACGCAACACGACCTGTGCGCGCGCATGCGCGCACGGCCACCCCACTTTCAGTTTGCGTAACCGCACGGTATCCCGCGTCTGTGTGTGTGCGCGGCGCCTAAAGCCTCCGCTACAATGGCCGCGTTCAGCAGACACAACTGTTGAGTGAGCGCTCGGTATGATTGGTTAATACTTTCAGATCCAGCCAATCACGTTAAGAAATCATTGAGCGCTCACTCAACAGTTGTGTCTGCTGAACGCGGCCATTGATTCTCGGTTCTGTCTACAATGGTCGTAGTCGTAAGAATAATCGACTGCGATTGGTCAATTCTTATCGAGCGACTACGACTACGATCATTGTAGACAGAACCGAGAATTGTAGCGGAGGTTTAAAGCCTTGTGTCCACGATTCAAGAACCGTGTCCAGGTTCTAGTTCCAAGAAATGTGCAACCAATCAACCTGTATCTTTTATGGGAAAGCTGCAAGTTGATTGACTACGCATTTCTTAAGGCCTGTGTCCACGATGCTAGAACTTGGACCAAGTTCTAGCATCGTGGACACAGGCTTTAAAACTAGAACTTGGTTCAAGTTCTAGTCCCGAGAAATGTGTGGCCAATCGATTTGCAACTTTTTATGGAATAGCTGCAACTTGGGGTGCGTTCCGTTTCATGCATGATGTGCATAATGCATCATTTATCTTTCTTTAATATTTGGCGAATAACAAGGATAAATGATGCATCATGCGCATCATGCGAGAAACGGAACGCACCCTTGATTGGCTACAGATTTCTCGAAACTAGAACTTGGATCAAGTTCTGGCATCGTGGACATAGACCTTTAATTATCACGCAGCTTTTATGGAATAACAGCAAGTTGATTGGCTATCAACAGTCTAGTTTACCACAGATTGTTTGATACGCGTATCAAATAGCAAATAACTAGTAAACGGATCTGGTCATTGGCGGATCGACTGAAATACACTATTTGATACGCGTATCAAATGCTCGGTGTGAGGCCTGTTCTTTATTACTGCACTACTGAACTAGTGCAATAAGTTAAAATGAAACAAATAGATTACCTCTCATTCCAACTCATTGCACCAGTGTGCACTAGTCCAGGGGTGCAGCAATAAAAAACAGACCCTAGATTAAAAGGCAGAATCTCTGCAACATCGCTGCGTCCCAAATCCCATTCTCCCCGATCGGAGTCATATGCGTGTGCATACGGTATATGTATTGCTGGCATTAATTGACGGTTAACATTGTGGCTTCGTCAGCGCGATGAGGTACGACCTCACGACCTGATTAATTTACATTTCTGAATAACGCTTTTATGATGCGTCACGCGAAAATGAGCCTGGTGTTGCATCACTTTGCGGAACAACTCGAGAGTCCCGTGACCCCCCGGATTCACGCCGATTGAACGCCGATCATGCCGACGGTATCGCGGAAGGAGGCGTGAGAGGAAGTACAAGAATTGCAACGATCGGTCCCGATGGAGAGGAATTACAAGTGAGCCGCTAATCGCGTTGGACACGTAGGCGTGTGAACGCGAGGGAACGTCGGTCGGCGTCGCCGCGATGAGCGCCGCACACAGCTGCTCCCTGCGAGGATACAAGCATCTCGGCTCTTTGTCGAGTCACTTTCACGTCCTGCGCCTTCCCTTGCATTAATCCAAACATGTTCTCGCTCGTGTACGACTTGTGGCCGATGGTGGAAGGTGTCGTAGGTAATAACGCTGCGTTAACGTGAGCCTTGGGTACATACGTCGCCGTTAGAAACAAATCTAGCATTGTCTAACAATTACATTACATCCATAATAATATTCCGAGACGATTTGCGAAAGTGCATGTCTAGATTGATACGAGCTTCTTGTTTGTACGAGTAGACATTTGGGTTTTTCCCTCGTTGATAATTTTTATACTGGAAGAATGCACTTTGAAAGGTGACGATGCGACTCGACGGTCGTTAAAGGATACACTTTGTATTATTTTCAGTTCAGTACATTGACTTGGACTTTACATTGTGGCTGACATGGCTCCTAATGCCACTTCTCGTAACATTTCTACTCCCGCTTGTAATTGCGCTGCTGCTGTACTTAAACGCCTTAATGTTGTACATCTATAAGTTACACAGGTTTGAAAGGAACATATTGGTTGGTTACAAACATACGTGTATGTCGACTGCAACATAATTTGTCAACATTAACTGTAAGAGATGTCTCATTCAGTATCGAGTTGGTCTTAATGAAATAATTTACTTGTAGTAGCAACGAGTGCACACTTGTGAATGTATACTGGCTTTTAATGTGTCTCTTAATCTATAAAATATTCTCCTTTGACAAAATTGCGTTGAAAATTATCCCAGTTTATGCAGTAGACGAAACATACATAAAGGAAATATTGCCTTTTCCTTCAGGGTGAGATTGAGAAATGCCTATGGCACTCCATGGCGAGAAGCAGCTCTTCACATGATGGCAGCTGTCTGGGATGCGCATGGTTGGATCTGGCATGGTACGTTCCATTTTTATTATCTACTTGTAAGAACCACTGGACGTTGAAGGGCACTTAATATAATTTTTCGCCATATGATTTGTTCATTGGGATAAAAACGATTACACGTATGATTTTTTGACAGGATACGAGATTGTGGGCTTAGAGAATATTCCAGAGGACGAACCAGTATTGTTTATATATTACCACGGAGCTATCCCTATCGATATTTATTACTTTGCATCCAAAGTGTTTCTGTACAAATCAAAACTAATCCGCCTGGTGGTGGATCGATTTCTCTTCATGATCCCCGGCTGGTCCATATTCGCTGATGTCATAAAAATTATACCTGGCACAGTTCAGTCGTGCTCGACTATTTTAAGAGAGGGAAATATGCTCGCCATCTCCCCGGGTGGCGTGTACGAGGCGCAGTTTGGGGATTCCTACTACGAACTTTTGTGGAAGAAGAGGCTGGGCTTTGCGAAGGTCGCCCTCGATGCGAAAGTGGTGCGTTCCCTTCGATAGTTTCGCATTATTTTCATTGGCTCCTATTGCAATGGTTGTTTCTCACCAGAGTATAGTTCCCTTATTCACGAGAAATCTCAGAGAGGCATTTAGGGCAGTGAGTTGGGGAAGAAGAATATGGCTGAAGATTTATGCCAAGACGAAACTTCCTCTTGTACCGGTTTACGGTGGATTCCCGGTAAAGTTGGTGACGTATATAGGTAAACCGATTCCATACGATGAGACTCTTACTCCCGAAGAATTGCAGACGAAGGTAAATGAGTGTGAAGGCGTATAAAACACTTTCCAAATATCATTAAAAACTATTTCAACATTTTCAGGTTGCTGATAATCTTCGAGATTTAATAAGAACCCATCAAAAGGTACCTGGTAACATCACCCGGGCTTTGGTGGAAAGAATACGTAATACAGAGAGGTATAAGGATTAACATGATATAATCTGTTTTGACGTACTTAAGACGCAATAATTTCAGCGGTTATTTTAATGTAAAACTTGCTCTCTTTTTGGGCGAGTAATATAAAAAGAATATAATAAAGCCGTTTCACTCGTTAGAAATTTTCATTATTTATATTATATAATATGAATTAATAAATTTTACCCTTGTACTTAAATGTGCTTGATTATTATAAAGAAAAGTAGTTTATTTATATTTTCCTATAAAAATGTGTACAATTCTGTGCTCAAATACCACTAAATGTTAGATAATCTTATGTTAGATTTCATAACATAAAATGTGATAATTTACCAATTATGTGCATTTATATACATATATATATATATCTCTCTTATTTTATATTTCCTACCTTTTTACTAATTTATTAAAATAGTCTTATGAATATTAGTTTTGTACAGGGATTGTAATAAATAATGATGGACCTATTCTTAACAAAAGGAGTATATCGAGGTAAATAATTTATTGTTATCCCTTTTCTTTTGTTATAATTGGTTGTCGTCACAAAGGTAACATATTTCGATTATTCGACAATCGTTAAAAGTCGATACAAATTAATTGATGTATCAAACTAATTTTCTTCGTTAGGAATAAATTTTATACTTGCGCAGACAGTTTGGACAGGTGAGATTGTAAAGTTTTTATAAGAAATGATTAAAGAGTATAAATACAAATCACGAGACCACACCGCCGAAAATTTTGAAACCACTTGTAAACTGTTCTAATCGAGGGTGCAGATTTACCATAATATTACTCAAGCTTCCCCGTAGTCTTCTGGGGCGATTTGCCTTTCATAAAGTAGTGTTTGGTCAACGCACGAAATTCTTTCATTCATGTTTTCGAAATCTTTCAGTAGACTATCAAGATTAACGGAAAGTCGGCGAACGCAGGCTCTCTCGGACGTTTTCATGTCCGCGGAAGTAGTTGCAGTAAAATCATTATTATTTAAATTGTACGCATAATGTCATTAAATAATACTTGGCGAGTTCATCTGCCACCTTTGAATGTGGCGGTCAACTTTGTCACGCTCGACGATTCGTTCGGCGGAATCGGCCCAATCGGCACCGAGTTCCGAGGTCCCGGGTCGCGTTCCGAAACGCACCGACCAGCAACCGAGTCCGCGATCCGAATCTCGGCCCGACGCCCACCGACGCCTTCGGAACGCAATCCCGGGGCAGACTTCCCGCGTTCCCGATTTCCGACGGGGGGCGCGAGTTTCCGCACTAAAACGGCCGCGCGCAGCCAACGGTGGACGCTTGCGCCGTGCCGTTCCCCTGTCTCCCCCCCCCTCCCCCTCGTGAAAGTACGGTTCTTTCGCTCGCGAGGCTGCCGCCGCTTTTTTTCCCCTTTCCTCGCGAACGGCGTCGCGCGCCCTGCACGAGCCCTGGTCTCCGCACGGATCGTCTTTCCGTACCGACCGCGCGCCGCAGCCTCCGCGACGGCGAGGCGGATCCCGTCGGTGAGCGGCGGTGTGACCGAGCCAGCGAGCAGCCACATCAGCCACAGCCAGGCCACAGCAACGTGATTCGATTCCCCGACCCGTCCCAACAACTTGATGCACCAGCATGAGTGATTATTCAGCGGTCGCGCCGCCCCAGAACTTCAGCCAGAGCACCGCGTTCGCGGCGGCACTCCAACGCGCCAAGCAGGTACGCCCGGCCGCGCGGCGCGGCGACGTCGGCGACGGCGATCGGCGGCCCGCGCGCGTCCTTCTCGCCAGCGAGCGTCACGTTGGTCGTGGCGAGCGTTAACAGACCGCGGCCGCTGCCGCTCGAATCGCTCCCGTCTCGCGCGGCGCGATTACGCAGGAGAGTCCCGCGCACGGCATACGCGAGCGATAGAACGCGATTGCAGTTTTCCGATGTCAGAGTAGCTTGCGGCTCGGCGCAATTTTCCCCTTTTTTTTTTTTGGTCCTATGGCGGTCGACTCGGCGTCCGAGAACGCGGTACTTGTGTGTAACGCGACACTTGCGCGTGGCATTACCGTCGACTGAGATATCGTGCCGCTTTGTACGACGATTGAATTTCGACGGCGGAACGTTCTCTCCCGAGTTTCTATGGATCTGTTGGCGCGACGTACTCCCGTTTGCCCCGACGACCATTAGCAGCCGTTTACGATTCGATTTACAACGTGAGTGACGGTACCGGTCGTCGGGGCATGCGAACGGACTTTTATACCTACGCTTGGTCTCTTTCCAGATTGCCGCAAAGATAAATCCTGGTGGCACTCAGAATAATCAAGATGCGAAGTTGAAACGTCCCCTCGAGGATAGTTCAGGTAATGCGCAAAGTTTTGGAAGTACACGTTGATCCGTTTCTCCCTTCCATTTTCGTCGATAGAGCCGTTGGTCCACTCGTCGGATTGCGTTCCTCATTAACGTCGCGTTACGTCTCGTGCTTTCAGAGCCTGAGGCAAAGAAAATGGCATCGTTAGTGGTAGATCCTTTAATAGGCATTCGCGGGGGACCTGCGGGCAATTCGCTTGGGGACGCAGGTGGTCAGGGAGCTAGGCCGCAAGTTTCTTCCAATTTAGGTGGTATATGCAACGAGGACATCAGAGTACCAGACAAAATGGTCGGTTTAAGTAAGTAAAACTGTGGAAGAGGTCACACACTGATTTCACTTAAGTTCCCCGTACAAATGTTCTGTAATACGTTGCATTGCGATATCCGCTGCGACGACTTGAGAATTCGCTGCTTTATGATTTATTGTGACGTATGTAATATCGCCATGTAAATTGTCTAGCCTAAGTATTACCGTTGTCTTAACAATATCCACAAAGTACTTGGTTGCGTTCGAGAACGGTTATGAGTATTGCTTTTATTTTGAGGAAAGTTCTTATATCGATTGGTTCTCGCATAATTGAAATGCAATAGTAGGAACATAAAATATGTACGAGTAATGTACAATTACGTTTAAGTAATAATAATGTATTTACAGTAATTGGCAGAGGTGGAGAACAGATAACAAGATTGCAAAGCGAAACGGGATGTAAGATTCAAATGGCACCGGAAAGCGGTGGGCTGCCTGAGCGTGTTTGCACGCTAACTGGTTCACGAGAAGCTGTCAAGTAACTTGTTTTCCCTTCTTATTTCGTTAATTTCAACTATTTTGTATGCAATGCAATGATACCATGACTTTATATCCACACAATTGTGAATGATAAGAATGGACTCTTTTGTCTGTTTCGGCCTTGAATGCAATTAGTTTTGTCTTTTGGAAATGATTGTTCGATTCGAGTTTCTACGTTTATAGACCGGAAAGAGAGAGTACTTTTTTTCCGTCGAAATTTATTTATAAATCATCCAAGCAAATCTGCTATCCTCCTTAAATTGACATAGGGACGTTTCGCATTCTAGTTTGTTTAAGCGCGAATGTTTTTACCACACTCCCCATCTTGTCACTTGCCCCAAACGAATTGAGAAAATCCACTTCAAACTGCGATGTTACGACGATGTATAAATATTGCACAATGCTTCATCTTATTTATTGGAAAATGTGATTGGATTACGATTGATTCTGATAACAGCTTATATGTCGGTTATACTTTATACATGCTACAATTACATCTTGACATGCATTTCACGAATGTAGGGCATTATATGCTTTTGCATATTAAAATTATAAAATGTTTTACAGAATCTTTATTTAGCTCCTGGATGCCAATAGCGGGTTCAAACTTGACTTGCTATAAGCTTCAGAATTTCTGGCCATTGAAAATTGATTAATGAGTTGACTTTTTTGATTTGATAATTTTGTATTTACTAATAGTTTTTTGCTTTCAATAGGGTATGGAGAGAGGGAGGAGGAAGGAAGGAGGATAGGATATGCATGGGGACGTGTTGATCACAACACATGAAGAAAATTTTATTTATTTATTTAAAACTGCTTATGATTAAACCTATATATGGCATTTTGATACCTATATATGGCATTTTGATACAAAATCTTTGAAACCTTTTATTATACCGTTTGAAGACGTTGATCATTAGATCGTTAGAAAAGAGAGATATTACAAGTGTGATATATAATTTTGATAGATATTAGTGCATATTTATGTGTTGCAAACAAACTTTATTGTTGTACATTGATTAAGTCTTTTGACACGTGTAAAACAGTCTAGTTGAAAAAGTATTGTACATCCGCGTTTTATGTGTTTCAGTCGAGCGAAGGAGCTTGTGTTGTCAATAGTGAATCAAAGAAGCAGAAGCGAGGGAATCGGTGAAATGAATATGAGTGGCAGCAGTGGCGGGATGATGGGACATCCAGGATTTGTTGAGATAATGATTCCAGGTCCTAAAGTTGGCCTGATAATCGGCAAAGGGGGAGAAACCATAAAGCAACTTCAAGAGAAGTCCGGAGCTAAGATGGTTGTTATTCAGGAAGGGCCATCTCAGGAACAAGAAAAGCCTTTAAGGTGAGACGAACGAACGCTTTTCTCTGTGTATGCCCCTCTCAATTTTATCTATCGAGGCAACGTGGCACAATTATTGAACCTTGATATCTTCTTTCTGTAGAATAACAGGGGATCCGCAGAAAGTTGAATATGCGAAGCAATTAGTCTATGAATTAATAGCTGAAAAAGAAATGCAAATGTTTCATAGAGGAGGAGGAGGAAGAGGAGGAGGAGGAGGAGGCGGCGGCGGCGGCGGCGGCGGCGGCGGTGCCGATAGAACACCGAATTATTCTAATGATAGTGGTTTTAATCACGGTCCTGCAAATAACGATGGAGTAGAGGTTAGTAGTGATTTTTACTGTCGCAAACAAATGTATCGATTAAGAACGAATTTGTTGACTTTGAATTTAACTGTACAGAGAGGGGGGAAAGAGAAAGACCCATTTTTTATTCTGAAAATTTATTAAGTTATCGTTTAACAGGTACTCGTCCCGAGAGCCGCAGTTGGTGTCGTTATTGGTAAAGGCGGAGACATGATAAAAAAGATACAGGCGGAAAGCGGAGCTAAAGTTCAGTTCCAACAGGGAAGAGAAGATGGCCCTGGCGATAGAAAATGTCTATTGTCAGGGAAGCATCAGGCTGTTGAACAAGCTCGTCAAAGAATTCAGGAACTGATTGATAGTGTCATGGTATTAATATGTTTATGAAATTAGAATATATATGTGTCCACGAGTTAATATAGCGTTGTACACGACATTACTTATTCATTTTGAATTGTAGAAAATCTGTTGATTCTTTTTATTTTCAGAGGAGAGATGACGGTAGAAATAATATGGGAGGCAGAGGTGGTCCGAGGGGCAATGGTTTTGGAGGCAATCGCAATCCAAATGAGTATGGGAGTTGGGATAGACGACAGGGTGGTCCTATGCAAGATAAGATTGAAACAACATTTACCGTTCCTTCTTCCAAATGCGGCATTATAATTGGCAAAGGTTTTACTTTATTCACGTGTTAATTCAAATGTGTCAATTGTAGAGATATACATGCGTTGTTTAAAGCCTTCAATGTTATTGATTTAAGATCTTTGGGGTTTTATTTTTAAATATATATAATATGCACATGGTAATGTCCTTTTTCTCCTCTCTTTTTAACACTTACGACTTTAAAATCTATTTTAGGTGGTGAAACTATCAAGCAGATCAATCAACAGACCGGAGCGCATTGTGAACTAGATAGAAGGAATCAAAGTAATGAGAATGAAAAGATTTTCATTATTCGAGGTAATCCCGAACAAGTTGAGCACGCAAAGAGAATATTTAGCGAAAAACTTGGCATGGTGCGTTTAGTTATACATGTACATTATTATCCTTATGCGATATATTTTTTTGTAATATTTTGTTTATTGTTTCAAGGGTCCAGCTGGCTCTTCGTATGCCGGTGCACCAGGAGCAGTTGGATACAATCCAAATTGGAATGCAGGGTATCAAGCATGGCCGAATCAGCCACAGTCTAATGACGGAAGTATGTATGGTTTTATGATTCCTTATAGCATGGAAGGAGGTAAGTTGCATAGCTGTTACGCGATACATTTGCTCTTACAGGCAATGCTAATCAAGCTCCTGTACAAGTCAATCCACAGACTGGCCAGCCGGACTATAGCGCTCAATGGGCCGAGTACTATCGGTCGCTAGGCATGCACAGAGAAGCAGACATGATCGAGCAACAAGCGAAACAAGGAAAGCAAGATCATAATCCGCCAGGAGGTAGATACAGTTTTATATCGCAAGGGAGATCTTCGCTGCGAGATTTGCGGCATGATTTTTCCGACCGTTCTGTAAAACTAATAAACTAAAATGTTTCAGGTAATTCGCAAAACCAGTCTAATCCAGCGACAACCGGTTCGGCTGGGCCAAATCAGCAGCAGCAGCAACAGACGCAGCAACAACAGCAGGCAGGCGCTGCGCAAAATGGCGGTCAAGCCGATTATAGCGTTCAATGGGCAGAATATTACAGAAGCATCGGTAAAATAAAGGAAGCGGAAGCGATCGAAGCTCAAATGAAAGCGGGCAAGGTATTTTCTTTAAAACAATAACGTTTAATATCGTTGTTTGCTGCTGTATTTTAATGTCCTGTGTTTTGCGCAGCTCGGGATGCAAGGCAATCAAATGACCCAACAGCAAATGCAAACTCTTCAGGGACAATCGGCTGGTCCACCAGGTACCACGCCTAATGCGTTCCCTCAAGCTTATGGAAATTATCCAACGATGAATGCTGGCTCCGCACCAGCTGGTTATTACGCAGCGAATGCTGGATCTAATTCTCAACCACAGACGGGGCAGCAAAACCCTTCTTTCCCAACAGGATATCAGAATTACCCTTACTCACAGTCCACTTCTGAGAATTAAACTTCCATTTGAGAGAAAGGCAAGCTGTAAGTAAATGTCAGTAACACATGTACATGGATGAGCATACAGAAAATTATATGAAAAAAAGTATACATTTTCAATGATATATTAGATCAAATTGATTATCATAAGAAGTTTATAAGTTTTTGTTTTGGCAAAAGCTTTAATTCCAATGGAGAGAGTCTGGTAACTTGTTTGATATTAAAAAATGATGATTACAGTTGAAGTTTATATGATTTTCTAAATGCTATAGTTGTTATATTGAGCTAATATAAATAAATGTTGGTGAAATATATAAATATGTAAATTCAGCATTAAGAAATGATAATTTTTATTTTGTTTATATACCGGTTTATTTGAAATTATTGTGATCTAACAGTTTAATTATTTCTTCACCTTCAGTTTGTACGACATTTGATACTCATCTTTATATTGGCTTGATATTCCGACGTATTATGAATCAATGGTGTAAGAATAAGGGAATGTTATTTACTGATAATCATTGAACCTCTTTCAGGGAATTTGAATTAAACTTTGCAAAACGTAAAATCTATGACAATTTCGTGGTTCATGTGATGATTTGAATAACGATATATTTTACACCTTTGAAATAAAATCCGCTCTTTTTGTATATGGATCATCTCTTTTTACCATAATTATTTGTTTATTTCAGATAGTTTTCAGATAGCTTTCCAACGGGATGCGGTTAATACCTGCTATATCTCCATATAACTTTTAATCATAAATAGTTGACTGCTTCATAATCTTCATATATCTTTGAGAATGTCATGAGAATCGATTATATTCTGTTTATACTATAAAAACGTTTTGTGTTTTTTTTTATATATACGCATATACATATATATATACATACTATAGGATATCCATCGTTCTAAATTTAAGTAACAAAAAAAAATATCGAACAAGAGAAGTTTGATTGAAATTAATATAATTATAACATAGTATCAATATGATGTCTGTGTTCTACTTATACTACTGTATGTATTTCTGTTCCATAACGTGTATTATTGTAATATAAGTTGAAGCTGGCAGGTGAAGCAGCGGGTCAGAAAGTGGAACGAGGGATCGACATCTGTACCATTTTATTGCCATCCTCTCTCTCTTACTCTGTCTTTCTCTCTCTCTTTCTCTCTCATTAAACTTGTTAAACTTATATCCTTATAAATGCGTTGTTATGAACGATATATTAGTATACTTACTATATTAGATTATTACATACATCTTGATAAGACACTTATTTACCTGAGACACTCGTGTTTTATTATAACTGCATAAAAACTCTTGACTATACGAAATGCTATAATTGATACAGCTGCCATGTGTTTTCATTATCCATGAAAGTTCTTCTACTATATGTATACGAAAGATACATAAGATGACATTTATACATGCTTATGTCCTATTGCACTTGTGTTAAAATACAATGTTACTTTGGTTTTTCTTTTGCTTTCTCGTGAAATACCAATACTATTTTTAGATATTTGGAGCAGCCACTTAGAGAGGTTTACCCGTCCTACGATATATCGTGACATGGAACATCTACAGTTTAAAATGTTTCATTCAGCATTAATCTACATGTACGCAAAGGAATCAGGACCTGCGAACCGGAGATTAGTCGGACGGGATATATAACTTACAATGTGGAATATAATTTACTAACATACTAAATATTGCTTACAATTAGCCAGTATTACATGCTTTTATACGATACATAACAAAACATATTGGCTTTTCATTTCCGAGTAATTAAGTATTAAAAGACTTCACTAGTCATATGTAAAAATGTTCAAATTTTTATATATCTTTTTATTACACGTTTCAATTAATTTATATAAATGGATACGCAGAATCAAAGGTGGGAAGCTCTTTTTTTATCGCAGTTACAAATTCTTCGGTATACTTGCATATCAGCAAAAATTGTATTGAGCTATGTTTCTTTTCGTATAATTTCTAGTTTTCATATTAAATGGGATAAAATTACAATCAACACGATCTTGATTATAACTTTAATTCCATTATGTATACTATACATATCGATGTGCTTCCCTTTTGATGTAATCATGATACTTTTCAATTTCGTCTTTAATATTTCTTACCTACAGTGTGCAACTTCTAAAACATTCTGTATAAAACAATGCATTAACTACGGAATAAGGAGAGATAAAATTGGAAATACCTAACATCTAATAATCTTTCTAGATATATGTTGTATTTATAAAGTAAGGTGTAAGCTTTCATATATTCTACATGTATATCTACATGCTTATTCTTCGATGAAAAGGGAAGTTAACGTATCTTAGTTTTGTTATAGTAAGTTTACTCCGTTACGATCGAAAGCTGGGTAGGAATGACAAAACTATAAATTAATATTTTGTCAAACCGCTTAGTACATTTAAAATTCCAGAGCGTTAAAAGCTAATTATATTTAGCTACAGTTTAGTTATAATTAGTCACTTTTTTTATATAAAGTTATATCAATATTATACTTACATTAATACAATTATGTCAGGAAACACGCATAACTTCTGAAAAATATTTTTAAGACATTTCCATCGTTCCTCAAAATAAATAGAAAATTATTTCAAAATTGCTATAAATTTATGTTTGGCTTTGTTACTTATGTGTTTGATGTAACAGAAAATATGTATCTAAACATGTAACAATACATTTTTTATGTTACTATTTATATTTTTTTCACGCCTTAATAATAAAACAATTTGTTTTTATTTGGTATCTTCTGTGGCATTATTTCACACGAATTTATAATTTAATTAAAAGATAGTCTTGATAAATTTGTTGTATCGCTTGAGAAATGTTTTAACTAAGATATCAAAAATATATAGAGAACAATTGCGTGATTTTTCGCCTTTTGTGTTACTTCAAATTTTTATTTTATGAATACATGCTCATATTTGAGACCGTTGTCATAAATATTGTCTCTGATATTTTTTCGCAGAAATTTGTTACAAATTACGATGTTTCATAATATTTTAAATGTTACTTTACATAGACATAAAATAAAACTAGAATGATAAAATATATATTGTAAACCAGGAAACCTTATACATGCATCATATCACGTTTAATTATTAGGAGAGGATTATTAGTGTGTACAAGTTTCAGAGATGTCTTGTACGAAAACTTTATTGCGATTATAATATAGGAAATATGATAGAATGCTAATAGGAAGGTTTTCTACTTCGTATATTGACATTGTTGGCAAGTATCTTAATCAATTATATTGTCAAACTTGTAATATCGGTATTTACAACCTCATGAATTACATTTTTGTTTCGTTATAATAAGCACAGTAATATTTTCCTCTTTCTTTTTACGTATACTCGATCTTCCTTTATTAATTGAAATCTCTTCTGTTATATTTTATACTTTATGCACATAATTAATTAACATTGGCGAATGTTTCAGGGACGGGCGCAACAGAAAACTTTCCAGTTTCTCTGATCAAGAGAAGCAAATAGCAAATACGTACGAAAGATTTTCACTTAGAAATAAAGTTTCTGTAAAGAACTAAATAGGTATAGGTTACTGTAGGTGCAGTGCAAATTTCATACATGGTTTGTAAAATATAGTGCATATTCGAATTTCATAATAAAACGACAACGAAGTGTGTAAGTACTGCCCGTTCGTTGTTCGAGTACGAGATGTAATTGGAAGATAAAGCATCGATTTGTTGTAGGATAATCTGATATACGATTGTAAGAGAATACCATAAGTGATACACTTAATGTAACGAAATTCCTTTATTTGTGCACCAAGGATTGTTGTATAACGTTCTCCCATTTTCTTTTTTGAGCATACTTAAGGATTAACTCGCAATACTTAGACTGTCGTCACACGACACGATGGTAAATATTTCACACAAGACTGCATTTTCATCCATATATAAATATTATTTGCCAGCAAATAATACACGATCAACAAATATTGGCGTTTAAAACTTTCCTTTCCTAAGCCTTCACTAAAGAGCATAATTTAATAATCGTAAGCTTTACATTTCCGGGGGTGGCCCGTACAGGGGATTTAATTGTTGCGTGCAGCGTATGAACGTCGCCCGTCGCGGCAATTCGCGCAAACGCTCGGCCCCCGTGTAAGTACAAGCGGACCTTAGGCCGCCCAGTATATCCAGCACGGTGTTCTCGACCAAACCTCTGTAAGGCACTTCGACAGTTTTCCCCTCCGAGGATCTGCGCATATTGAAAGAAAGTTTTCCTTGCGTTAATCGTCCCCGCACGCACAGTGCTCATTCGTGGCGCCACGACGGTGGGCCTCTCACCTGTAGTCCGCGACACCGCCGGTGTGCTTCTTCATGGCCGTGTTGGAGGACATGCCGTAAAAGAGCTTGAACCTCTTGCCGTTCTTCTCTATAACTTCGCCCCCACATTCGGCGTGGCCCGCGAATATTCCGCCCGCCATGACGAAGTCCGCGCCGGCACCGAACGCCTTCGCCAGGTCTCCCGGGCAAGTGCACCCACCGTCCTGGCGAACGTCAATAATGCAGGGCGTGGGCGAAGGGGAGGGCGCGTCTCCGATTACATCTCGACGGAGAGTTAGATGATAATATAAATACTCACGGCGATAATGTGGCCCTTCAAGCCGTGCGCCGCATCCGCGCACTCAATCACGGCGCTCAATTGCGGATACCCAACGCCGGTCTTCATCCGCGTCGTGCACACGGAACCCGGGCCGATTCCTACTTTAATTATATCCGCCCCCGAGAGTATCAGCTCCTCCACCATTTCCCCTGTCACAACATTTCCTGCCTGTAGCGGCAGCAATTAATCCTCATGCGCAATTAACGTTACACAAATATTCAATTGATATCCAATCGCCCGTCGCGATCGGTCGACCGTGTTTCTGTCGCGGCTCGAACGACCGGACAGTACGATTGTACTTACAATTATAGTGTGGTTCGGATACCGCGACCTGACTTTTCTCAAATACTCCACAAAATGCTGCGAGTATCCGTTCGCAACGTCTAGGCATATAAATGACAATTCCGGCACGACTTCCAAAATGCTCGAGAGCCGCTCGTAATCCTCATTTCCCGTCCCCGAGCTGGCCGCTATATTCTTTACGCAATCGGGATTTAGCGCGGCAAAGTCTTTCCATTCATCTGCGGTATAATATTTATGAACCGTAGTAAAAAGACCATGCTAAAAGAATGTGCACAATAAGTAAGGTGACGCATTGCACGTCCGAGCGATATTTTTCTTTCTATGTACATGATCTTAATGTTAATAATGCGATAGGCATTCAATTTATATCTGTTTAACGTATGCAGATGCATGTATGAGGGAGGAGAGGTGGGGAAGGCTGTTGAAGAGTCCACCGAGTCCGGCGGAGGGGAAAGATTTCGGTGTTTCTTCCAGGCGGACTTGTCAGGTTGTTCTGTACCTTCGACAGAGCTTTTGCCATCTCAAACGTCCCGACTGTGTCCATGTTAGAAGCCATCACGGGAATTCCTCTGTACGTTTGTTTCGAATTGCGAAACGTGATCTCCCTGAAGAGGTCCACCTGTAAATGCGAGTCGAGGGTGAAATATTAATATTACTTTCACAATGGCAATCGAGGAATATGTAATCTCGTAGCGGCGTAACAGCCAATAAAGGCGCGACGCGACGGTCGTTCTCGTTGATCTTTGATTTGAAATTTTCTACGAAGCGCGCGAGACCCAGGTAGAACCCCGAGGGGAGGAAAAAGTCAGGATGATGTCAATTTGATGTCATATTGATCAAATTTATGTCAAATTTTGGTCAGTGTGGCATCAAATTGATCAAAATTTGACACAAATTTGGTCAATACGACATCAAATTGACATCGTCCTGACCTTTTCTTCTCCTTGGGATACTAGCCATGAAAACATCAGGATGGCATCAGTTTTTTATCTTTTTTTTTATCTATCGCGGTGACGTCAAAATAATCCACCGAGAGCCCTATTTTTGACATCATTAAGATGGTTGTTTTTTTTGTGATTAACTTGTCCCAAAGAGAAGAAAAAGTCAGGATGATGTCAATTTGATGTCATATTGATCAAATTTATATCAAATTTTGGTCAGTATGGCATCAAATTGACCAAAATTTGACACAAATTTGGTCAATACGACATCAAATTGACATCGTCCCGACTTTTTCTTCCACGCGAAGCAGCGTCTCTCCGTCGACGTAAGGACGATCGGCCGACGGGAAGTCTGCGCGCTCGGCGAGAATGGAATCAATAAGTGAAAGTTTCGCGCCCGCGAGAAGGGCCGTGAATTTTCGACCGGCGATCGCGCCGGCGGCGGGTCGCGTGAAATCGACCCGCGACTCACGTCGCGCGCGCGCGCGCACGCACGCACACGCGTGCGAGCGATCGAATTTAAAATCAACCGTGCGTCCGTGTCCCGAGGACAATACGCACGTCCCGCGACATTACGCGACGGATAACGCGTCGCGTCCCTCTTTCCTCCCCGACTCCCTTTCTCTACTCCCCTCCCGCGCCGGAGGAGGCACGCGTGCAATTATTCCCAATTATGCGGCGCGGAGCGCGACTTTACACTCCAATTACATAAAGACCTCCCCTCCCCCTCGCGCGGCACTCACGTCCGATCGGCTCTTGAGCGTGCTCCGTTTCGGGCGCAGCAGCACATCCTTAAAGTCCAGCTTTATGTCATTTATTATGTTCGGCATCGCGGCGGCTGACACGGTGGGATCCACCCCTCGATCTAGCAGACGGCTTGCCCGAGACTGGCTCCGCTCCGCTCCGCTCCGCTCCGCTCCGCTCCGCTCCGCTCGCTCGCCCGACTCGCCGCGCTCGACCGCTCAGACGTCGCCGCCGCCGCCGCGCTTGTTGCCGAGGAGAACCCGTGACCGCGGACGTTCCTGCTGCACTGGCTGGTACAACCCAGGCATGGCACATTTGACACGCCGCGCACGAGGGAGGGAGAGGGAGGGAGAGAGAGAGAAAGAGAGAGCGCGCTATTTTCGTCCCTCTCTCCCTCGCGCCCCTTATTGAACCAGGGCGGCGCGGCCTCGGGGGCGCTTCTAGAGCCGCGCTCCTACTCCCGCGCGTCCCTCCCGAAATGTATACGGAAATATTATTGCTCGGGAGAGCCGCGCGCGCGGCCCGCCCCGTCGAGAGATTCACCGGGGGCTCCGGTATCTCCGATCGACGTCTCACGCGGCGGAAATGTCTCAACGTGAGATATTCGGCGAAGGCTTACCCGGGCGTCGCCGTGGGATGCCTGGATTTACGTCCGCGTGTATTGCTTTACCGCGCGAATAACAATGGAAATTTTTCCAGGTGGAGAAATGTCGCTGCTCCAAAATCTACGCCGAGCGTAGTCGCACGACACCGGGGGCCAAACGCGTAATCTCGTGCGTCTCTATTCGTCGCCTCTGCGAGACGCCTCCTCGTCGTGGATATTTTCCGTCGAGTCGTTTGATTTTTCTATTTGTTTCCCTTAAAGATGCCGCAGCACTCGATCCCGGATTTTTGTCGCTCTGGACGAACGCCAGCCGGCGGTCGACGCATTGCGCAAAGTCCTGATGGCTCGGACGACCGTAAAGCCATCCCTGCGGTCACACACGTGCGTGCGTGCGTGCGTGTGTAATGTACACTAATAATGCTGATAACGTATCAGGACGTCTAGACGACACGTCCAGACGATCGAGGAAGCTTATTTCTTTCAAGAGACCAACGTTTACTCGCGCGCAGTCGGCGGAGTTTTATTTCTCGTCAGATAAAGTCTTTACATTGTGCCATTCCGGTACTCGCAAATTCGACGTTACGTTCCGTAAAAATGACAAGCGTATGGGAAGCTCGGATTTCATATATTCCAATTAATGTATTTGTAAAGAGAGGAAAGTCCCCTATTATGAGACAAGCTCCTAATATGAGACAGCGGGGTTTGCGTTAAATTAACAGGCCCGCATCTGTTGATTTCGCGAATGTATTGCTCTTGGAGCGAAGTCCGTTTAGTGGAAAATTCATTGTTACATCGTGTAATTGTTGCGGAAAAAGATTTGTGATTGAAAACCTGCTATCTCACAATAGAGGACTTTTTTCCTCTGCATTATCTTTGATGCAACTGCAAAATGCGCTGGCAAAACTCGAAGTTATTGAAACTCTCAGTAAAACGAAGACCAAGTTTTCTAGAACATTGAAAGACGGATGGTTTTATTTAACTTTCAGTCAACGAGAACCGATTCAAACTGGAGCACGAACGCTTGTAAATATTCGTAAAAGACAAAATGTCAAGTATGAACCGTAGCGAAGTGCGTCGCATTTAAAGAGTTACGTGTATATCTTAAAGAGTTTCGACCGTGGAAGCGTTTTACTGCGACGTTTACATAACAGGGAAATAATGCGGACGTCTTATTTCGTGTACAAGTAGAAACTATTTTGGTCCGAGATGTGAGAAATCAATTTGTGTGCTAGGAATACATATTCTACGTAAGTTCGCCGTATACAGAATACACGAAATACAGACTTACATCGACCGATTTATCGAGAAGGATGCTTCGTTTACCGATCAGTAATTATGGGTAAGGGGCTTAGTGATTATTACAATATGTCAGTCTACTGAAATGACATTTGAATCTTCATCAGATTTTCTTATATTTAATTCTGCAATGTTCCGTTTTGGCTCTGTAACGTCATACATAATTCACGAATCAGAGTAGACGGCGTGAGAAAAGGTTTCTCGCTAATGAGCTACTTTTATACAATTGTGACCGGTGCACATCAGCTTTGTATATTTTTTCTTGCACTGATGTACAAGCAGTTGTCTGAACGTCCGATTCCATGCGCATACAATGTACAAAATAATGACCGACATGTTCAAGCTTAAACAATGGCACTGCATTATAATGGAATGGCGTAAGTTGAGATACAATGATTGCGTAATCGTTACACACAATTTGACAGAAGTCGGAAATGTATACCGTATGTCTGCTCGAGGTCGAAGATACGTTTGAGATATTTTTGTAATTGATGCTGCGTAAGTGACCGCGTAAGTACAGAAAACTTTCGCACGTATTGACCCGCGTCAACCCCACGTACTAAAATTAAACACTTAATGTCTCGATACTGGTGTTCGATACTAGTAAGTGTAATTTTCAATTTTTATAAAAGATAGCAGTACTTAGGCACTGGAAACAAAACTTGACGGGACTGCAGTTCGTTGGCAGTTACGGGGCAGTGTAACGGAGTAACAGCTTTCGACGAGTCATTGTTTTACATGTTTTTGAATTCACCAGAACCATTAGCGTTGAGCATGAGTATGTTAGGATTTTCCTTTTCAAAGGCAGTCGCGTCTCTGCCTCCTGGTCTCTCCTCCTGTCCCCATTCTCCTAGAGTCCCGCGCATCACATCTGGCTGATCCTTCAGTTTTTGCTCCTCCTTCTGCGAGATTACTAACGGTTTATGGTCACACGCAAACACATTGACAAGTTAGTTTTCAAGATTCATTCGAGTTAAATTCATCAGCCTTTATACCGTTCGTGATTATTTATAACAAATGCAGAATCTACAGGCACGTTATTTGCCGTATTAGAGAACGTGAACAACGATCGACATCGAAATGTATGTTTGTTGGACATTGCAGAGGTAAATTCCGTTTCAAATAGCTAAGTGCTCATGATAAATTTCACGGCCAACACCGATCGAAAACTGAGCGCGTAAAAAGGGTCGTATATCGATTAAAAAAATGTTATTCAACATTATTGTTCTTCACAAACCTGCTTATCTTCCTGCGCAAACTTATCGAACATGTTCGCGTAAAGTTTCTTCTCTTTAATTAATTGCTTCTTAATAAGAGCATTACAGATTAAAATTTGTTTAGACGCGGCCGTATTTTTCGGCTGTACTTTTAGGACCTCTTGGAAATCGTTAACAGCGACTTCAGGCGATGCGAGCCCAAGGTGCGCCTGTCCTCTTCTGAACAGCGCCTTTTCATTCTGCGGATCCAGTTCTAGCGCTTTGGCACATTGCTCCTTGGCCGAAAGGTTATCATTGGTTTTCAGGTAACACAGAGCGAGGTTTAGGTGGCCCGCCAACATGAGGCTATCCCTCTCCTTTTTGAGATCATCCGTGAAATCTGACGCATTTAAGTACTTGAAGACTTTCTGGTATGCTTTAATGGCTAGACTGATCTTATCCGATGTCAAGTACTGCGTTCCTTTCTCTTTCTGCATCTTTGCCTGTTCTATCTTTTCCTCTGGCTTCAACGACCATGCGGTTGCCTCCTGTATAAAATTCCAGTAATTAAGAGGGTCACAGAATTAGAGAGACGAGTACTCATCTCCAATGATCGCAATCGTATACCTTCTCGAAGTTCTGTAATTCTACTTCGTACTCCACCTCCGCGTTCGGCGGAATATTGTGTTTCGGGTTTCCTTCCTCCTTAAATGCATACTGGCTTTTAATTAGCAGCTTGGACTTCTCGCCTTTCGAAAAGCGCAGCAGCGCTATCTCCACACCCTCCACAATTCCCATGGCTTCTCCTTCGCCAAGGATAAATTCTACAGCTCTATCTTCGAAAGCTCTACCATTGTACCGTCCAATCATGTATACTAAGAATGTAAGAGGGCTCGTTAAATGAAGAGCATACAACATATATCTCATTCAGGTCGACCAAAACGCGATACTAACTCTTTACGGCACTGCCATCCTCCGGATTCGTGTAGTTTTGGCCAGGGACGATCTGGTATCTCTGGATGCTCTTATCTTTATTCGGACTTAGATCTTCTCCACACCAATCAAGTAATTCGATCTAGAAAAGGTATGCGTGGTACAATACGGCCAACAATTCTCCGATACGCGTGTACGTTATTAAAATATTGATAGTTTTAGACGACGATTAACGCGACGTAAAACGTTTTGGAGTCGCAGAAATTGGTCTGCAGCAACTGTCGCTGTCGACTCACCTCAAACTTGAGCGTGGCATTGGGTGGGATCATCGGCGGGCTACCATTCTCGCCGTAGGCGCATTCGGGGGCGCACGTCAGCATGGCAGTCTCACCCTTCTTCATGGTGGCGACTCCGATGTCCCATCCCTTGATAACGGTGCCGGTTCCGAGATTGAATTTGAACGGCGCGTTCCTGTCCCTGCTGGAGTCGAACTTTGTGCCGTCCAGCAAGGTGCCGGTGTAGTGGACCTTGACGTTGCAGCCGTTCATGGGGGTGAGATCGCCCACTCCCTCCTTGATGATCTCCTTCAACACGCTCCTGTCCTTCGCGGGGGACACATCTATCTCGGCCATTCTCTACGGGCGTGAGAAGAAGAGAGGATTGTTAGGACCGGAGGCTCTTCCCGCCGCGCGACGACGTCGATAATCCAACGGCCGCAAGTCCGCCGTCCCCGTCCGCTACGAATGTTCTCGAATCGAAATGTTAATGCGCGAATACTAACGACGGGAGGAAATGACTCTGCAAGACGCGCGCGATTAATTCGCTCGTGCGTACGTGACTTTTCTGTGAGAATATTAACGCCGAGCGGAGATACGTACGGAATAGGACGCACGTTCGGTTGTACGTGACGCAGCGGAGACGACTCGTTCCAAACGCAGCCCCACACGCGTGCCGGACGATTCGAAACAACTCTGTGTGCAGTCGGCTCCCCGACAATCCTCCGTGCACCGGCGCAAATCGATCTCGGAGCTCACCAGAAAACGCGACTCCAGTCAGGCTTCCTGCTGCGGCGCCACGACGGTCGACACTCCCGCCCTCGATCGCATCGCGCCGGTTCTCTTCAATATTATCGACTTGCAGCCTGCCAGCTGGCTCTGTTCGTAAAACGCGCATTTAGCAAGTGGAGGAAGATTTCTGCATTACCGACACGCGGTAACCTCTCTACATTATCGACCTCACTAATGTGATTATCATTTTTTACTAGATTATGAAAATTGCTCGTTGGCGATTATATTTGTTGTTCACTGACGAGACTCAATTCAGTTTCTCCTCATTAACGGCTCGGCGTATTTTATTAAGTCAGTAGGTCGGCAATAGAGACCGGATTAAATCCTCGTCGCTGATGCGCATACATGAAATGAATTCGATATAGCCTGGTCCTGGGTTCGTCCCCTTCCGCAATAATCCACATCATAGGACGGTATTTCAGCTCGTCGAGCATCGCGAACGAATAATGACCGGTGTTTAATTCAACGCGATAACGCGTCGGACCAATGAAGAGCCCCGCGTCGCCGAAGCGTCCCGCGCTGTCCGCCAATCGCCGCGGGGCGTTTTCATCGCGAGAGGCGCGCTTGGATTACGTCGTCGTCGAGTGCGCCATATTTTCGTTCCGCGCGCTTTGCCGTGCTCGCGGTCATGGCGGACGTGTCTTGTCACGGCGGCGAGTGATTGCGTTAGCCGAGTGACCTGAGTGCCGGGCGTCTTGCTGTGTAAAATTTCTACAGATACAGCGGCCGTGACATCGTCGGAGATCGTCACCGGGGTCGCGCGTCGCGCTCGGCCGCGCCACGTCCGCGCCCGAGTCGCGCGAACGGAGGCTTGAAAGGTTATTGATGGGGAGATACGGATACTCGCCGCTGGAACACGACCGACGTGTCTCGAGGTGTTGTTGAGCGGCGATCTCGCTTGTTTTTCCGGGCCGACCACCGCCTGCCGCCGGGACGATGGCGGCGGACAAGCCGACGGACGAGCCACCAGGTATGGCCGAGCGCTGCCGGATATGCCTGTTCGACCACGGTTGCATGACCAGCTTACTCAACGACCGTGTGGAGACCCAGCTCAAGGACCTGACCAAGTGCACCAGCATCGACGTAGGTTCCCTTCTTCTCGCCCCGCCGCGTTCCCCGGGCCGCGCCTAATCCATCCTTTCGTCTGTCGCAGATCAAGTACGAGGAGAACCTACCCGGCGTGGTGTGTCACAGGTGCTTGTACAAGCTGTCTCTATGGAACGAGTTCAAAGAGATGTTTATACAGTCCAACAAGGCCCTCTTGGAACAGCTGGAGATCTCGGAGGTGTCCGATAACGATGTAAGTACCCAGTGAGAAATGACACGTGTCATTTCGACACCGATCGACGAGTTATTTCACGCCACGGTAGCCCCCGGTGCCGTCTCGCTTCGTCGCGTTTTGCGTACGCTTTGACATAACGCCCCTTTCGTTTTCGCATCCCAGATTAAAGACTCTTCCAAGGATGGGGATATGGGGCAGGACGTAAGAAAGAAACGTAAAGGTGACAAGAGTAACTTGTGTAACCTTGACAAGGTACGTCTTTATGTAAACTCGATAATTAATTGTGCTGAGTACATTTCCGCAAAGTTACTGTCATTTCCATTTTTTTTTCTATACCAATTATTCAACGACAATTGAGTCATTCAGGAGTTACTTACAGCGATCCACGGAATAATCCGATTGTCCCGATTTCAGAAAAAGTCGAGGCTAGATGTGTCTTCGGCAGAAGGTACGAATGTTACTTGTGGCACAGGTCAAGGTGTAATAGACGTGATGTCGTCGACTGACGATTTGCCAAAGGGGAATGCAAAGGTCGGCAAGCAGCAAGATGCGGAGAGTAAAATGTCCTATTCCGGATCAATGAGAGCTAGGCTGTTACCCGCGAGACGCGGTAGAAACATCGAGCGGAGGAAGGCGTCCACGAAGCGTTGGGTAGCGAGGAAGAGGGCGCTGTTGGCCGCGACTGGGGAAATCGTATCGGATACGGACTCCATAGCCTCCGACGAGATGCAGTTGTCGCCTGTGCAGAAGGCTCGAGCGAAGACGAACGCGGATAAGGAGGCGGAGAAGCAGAAAAAGATTGCAAAGGTGCTGAAGAATCTAGAGACGAATCTTACGGAGAAGTACAAGGTCGCGTTCCGTGACAAGGACACGGATTCCGACACGCGCAGAACGAGATACAGCAAGGAGCCGAGCTCGAACGTCTCGAAGCAGAGAAACAAGAATTCGTTGTTGAGCTCAGTCGGTACGAAGAGCATCAAGCAGAGAAATATATCCTCGGACAGTTTGATCGAAAGGGACAACTCGTTAACGGACAACGTTATGCTGGAAGTCTGCGCGAACAAGTCCAAAGTGCAGGCTGACGAGCAAGCTTTTACACCTCAGTCGTTGAAATCCGAGCTGGTGGTCGGCGACGTAACGTTTGCCGTAACGTCAACATTAATTCTCGTGGACCCAAGGAATCTTGATAATGTGGACATAAACAATTTAACGAAGGATTCCAAGAACTCGAGCCTCGACGAGAGCAATCAGGAGAAGAATACGGATATCATCGACGCCGTTCAGTTGCGTAGAGTAAATCCCGTGACGCCCAACACGCGCAGCAAATCCAAGAGCAAGTTTGTCGAGAGATGCTTGAACATCGAGGTGGAGGGTAACGAATTGGAGGTGCTGAAACGCGTGCAACACGAGTTGGCGGACTTCGTCGAGAAAGATATGAAGCAAAAGTTATTAGGTACGGATGACAGCGTCGCGAAAATCGACAAAGTGAACAGCGCCAAAAGCGAAGGTGACTACCTGCGGCAGAAACTCGACCAGAAGTTGAAAGATATAATAGAATTTTCCATAAAGAAAAATATCGAGTCTTCTATGATAGGGCAAATGGGCAACAGTCAGGGATTCACGAGATTTTCGTCAACGTTGGCGAACATAGCTGTAAACTCGCCCAAGTATCAGCCGAAAGTTGTGGTAAAACGCCTAGACATGGCGAAGGAGAGCAAGCATTATAACGTCAACAACGCCCACGCGTTGAAGCTGAAGAGCAAGCGCATCGGACCGTTCAGCATGATCACTCGTAAACGTCAAATCATACCTCCGGTAAGATACAACGATTACAATATCACAGCACTCAGCTCCGATTCGGATGTGTTGGACGATGACGCGGCCGAAACTCTGACAACGCTCAAGCCGATCAACATGAAAACGCCGAATGTGACGAGGAGACAGTCGGCAACCATTATTGGCAAGCCCGTGGAAAAAAGACAAGCCGATGGCGAGGAGGCCAAGAAGATAGAGGATCCCGTAACTGAGAACCATATATGCGGGGTGTGTGGACTCACATTTCACGCCCGCAGCGACGTCGAGGCTCACGTTCGGACTCACAAAACCCCTGTCGTGCAGGTCGTGCTGCAGAACGATCATGCGAGCCCGTCGCCGAAACCGCGGCAGGCGGGCAAGCAGAAGGTGATGCGCTGCAAGAGGTGTCACGAGATAGTCGAGGCACGTCTCGTCAAGACGCACGTGTGTAAATTTCACAAGTGCTACGTCTGCAACTCCATATTCCGCACGAAGAACATTCTCGCGAAGCACTTGGAGAGCCACGACCATTCCGAATTCAACATAATCAATGCGATCGGCAACAAGAAGCTGAACAATGCTGACGCGTTACTGAAAATTCTGTCGGCTGCGTCCGTGTCACCGCAGAAGGATCAGGAGACCGAGGCTGAGACTGCGACTGCGGCTGCGACTGCGACTGCGACTGCGACTGCGACTGCGACTGCGGCTGCGACTGCTACTGTGACTGCCACTGCGATTGCCACTGCAACTGGAACGAAAACGCAGGCTCTTGCAAATGAGAAAAATGACATCCAGTCCGACAAAATTAGTAGCACAGGCATGAAGCTCGATAATGCTGAAACTATTAAGAGGAAACCCGAGGAAACGTACACCTGCTTCGTGTGCGACAAAATTTTTACGGACAAGGAAGTGCTGAAGGATCATTTGCAGATGCACTGCGACGATTTGAGCGAAGGGGAGCAGAGCAATAGCAAGGATCAGTATCAGTGTGCTATTTGTGGCAGCACTTTGGAATCTGATCAAGCGTTAGAGGATCACGTTGGCAAGCACTTGTTCGATGACGAGGACGACAACCCTAATCTGATTAGCATAAACCAAAGCAGTGAGAGTTATACTGATACGAGGGAAACCGAGTATCAGTGTGGCCAGTGCTCAGAGATGTTTGACTCGGAGGTGTTGCTGGAGATGCACATGCAAGCGCACGAGGAGGAATTCGCGATAGCGGAGTGGGAGGAGCAAGGAATGAAGGTGCAACAATATCAATGTATGCTCTGCGACGAGTTGTTCAACGCGGAAGAGGAGCTGGCGGAACATTTGGACATACATAATGCGAACGCGCAAGTATGCCAGTTGTGCGACAAGCCGTTCCGTACGCTGGAGGACCTGCAGAAACACGTTGCAACTCATTGATATATCAAATGTGTAATCAATATTTTATATGTATATGTATTAATAGCTATTACGAAACCTCTGTGGGATAATGAGCAGATAAGATTCTACTACAGGCTGCGTTCGCTTTGGCTTTAACTTTGGAGCTCACATGCTGAAAGTGTCATTCTATTTTTGCACATTGCATGTCGAAGAAAGATAGAGAAAAAGATAGAATGACGTCTTCAGCACGTGAGTGCCCGAAGCAAGCGTAGCTATGTTTGTCATGGTTGCTACGAAATCTGCCAATAACAATGTGAATATTATAAATTTTTTGTTCGAAATATCCAAGTTAGCTATACAATTGGTTGTAAAATTTATCAATTCCTTAACTTTGCCATTCAATTAACGCATATTTTATTTAAGACAATTATTTATAAAACGAGGCGCTGTTAGGCGTATATTAATAATTAATTCAAATTTTAAATTTCTCTTCGAAAGAAGTAAATTCTGTTTATTTATGACGAGCATTGATAAGATTGTCATTTTATTTTTATTCAAGATCAAGTAAGATCGCACCCTTTAAGTAAAAGCGCTGCTTGAGTATAAGTTTTGGAAAGTTTATCTTCTAGAATATCTGTTCCGACTTATATTCTGGAAATATACACTTTCTGTTATACATATGTACGTAGAAAAGAGAGGAGGAGAAAACAAACATAAAGGTAAACACCTTTTCTGTACGACCGTATCCCTTTGCCGATTCATAATTAGCGTATTTTATTTTATGTTTAAAACCTTTATACATTATAGCGATACTTGTTGGTATAAATGTATCACACAGAGAATGTAAGTTATCTAAGTTGTCAAATTATGTGAGATATAGCCCCAGCCAAATCGTACGAATAACTTTTTATTTTACGTGCAAAATGAAATCTTAGTTGGGTTTTTATCTGAGATATTTTCATTCGCAATGATGATGGAAAAAAGTCTGTTTTTCCTCTTCGAAGAACTCTATATATACTTTATAAATATAAAACTTTATAAATATTACATTGATAAAAAAAAGTTTATTTTCGCAGTAAATATGTTATTTAAAATGTACAATTGCATACAATATTGTACACTTGACACGTACTAAAACGTTGTTAAATATAAGCAACTGCGTTAAATAGATGATTAAATGCATAAATAAGGGGATGTTACAATATATTTTATTAAGAGATTATTTTTCTTCTCCTATTAATACATCTGTGTAGTTATTAGCAATAAATATGCATGGCCATTCGAGATAGTAGATTAAGTAGAAATAATTGACATTAAAGCATTCTAAGAAATAATTGTATTAAAAAAGAAAATTTTTTTATTTTGGCTTGGAAGTTATAGAAAATTTGCTTTTTGCTAACGAAAAAAGGTTTTATTATTTTGATTTTAACATAAATTTCTCATGTGTCAATACCATATGTTTTACATAGAACTTTGATGTTATCTTGAATTTAAGTACAGGTAATTGTTCTTTTATTTTTAACAAGATATAAAAGATTAATACCATGTAATTGTAAATACAGTAACGATATAAATCGATAGAATGTTTTATGTAGAAGTCATTTATTAAATATACATAATAAATTTTATACACAAGCTACAATTTATATAAAACTTCACAACTTTATGGAACTGTGAACATACGTTACAAAAGGTAATTTGGAGGATTAATTAAATTTAAAAAAAAATTAGACTGAATTTATAATTTTACTATATATTCTGTATGGTATTTACATAAATACTGTGTACATAGACACAATGTATTCGTAATGAATACTTTGTTTTCTTCTTCAAAACGTCTATATTATAATAATCGTAAATCAAATATCCCTATGACTCTGCAGCTAACGCATCAGGGGATAATTCACAACATATTTTACGAAAGAAGCCCTTTGAAAAAAAATGTTACCTACAAGTTAATTTTTACATGATTCATGCCAACTCTCTAAGATCTTACGCCTAATCTACAATGTGCTCTTTGCGTATTATCTAGAAAATCTTCGATTTTACATAAACAAATTAAAATACGTAAAAACTTCGTCGGCAGCGTACGATTGTACAATGTATAATGTACAATTTCATTTTGCACGCGTTTTTAAATATATTTATTCGCTATGAAATATAATGTTTCTAAACGCAGCACATTGTGCAGATTAGGCTTTATACATTTAGTTTCGGAAAAACTTGTTTCATTCAATACGTGTGTGGTATTTGGTAGATATTATTATACTATATTATAATTAAAGTAACGTTTAATACGAGACGTCTCTTTATTCTTTTCAACGTATTATAATTCCGAGATATATAACTTTTAAACGTAAATAAACGATTGAATGAAAATTATTTTTTTAAACGCGATTCTCATATCGGACTGATAAAAACAAGTTATGTATACATACACACATACATATATGTATATGTACACTTTAGATGAAAACATTCTCTTACAACATATTGATAATTCACATTTAATTCATCAAAATATCATATTGACTATAAAATTTAATTAAATGGAAAAATTATCGATTTCTGGGTCCCGAATTTTTTGTGTATTAAATTGATGCCCATTCAAAGTGCTGCATCTTATGTTCAAATACTTCAAATGTAACACTTCAAATTTATTAAACGACAATTAATAGCTTCACATATTGCTAGGTTCTTACAGCTATTATATACAATGACACCATTTATATAGACATTTGTTTTTAATAGTACCTTTTTAATAACAATAAATTAAATAGAACTCTCGTCTTGTCTCAACCAAAAGATTCTTTTCGTTACAACAATGAGTCGTAAAACGCAGTGTTCCAATATTCTAAACTCGCTATACGCGCGCCACACGCGTGTAATCCATGTTTTTATCCATAGAGACTAACTAGTGAAGGACTTTAACTAACCTAGCTATCTAAAAACAAATTTCATTCTGAGTGAGGGGTATATCTTCGCGCGGGGAACCGTTCATTTTAACTCCGCTAGTCACGGAGGCAAGATCTCGAAATGGAATCGCCACCCGCCATTTATACAGTTCGTAAATGCAAACGGCCATCAATTTATCTAGAGGTACCTGATTTTAATGACTCGCTGTAACTCGTTTCTTCATCATGGGCCGCGTTGTCCTACGGGGAGCCGCGAATCTCCAAACTCGCGCAAATGACAGCGAAGAAAAACGAAACACAATTTTGTTCTTCGCGGAGATTACATATTTAAGTAACTAACTTGTGGATTTGGCTTTGCATTAGTTAATCTATTGCGACACCAAGCCTACATAATTCGCCGGATAGAGGCCCACTCTGCCGTCCTTCCTTCCTTTACACCACCCTTGCTCGTCTTCGTCTTCCAGTTTTTCGAATACATCTCCTAAAAAACAAAATCCAAACGGAACTCAAATTAATATTATTCGACATTAATTGTGTGAACCACGAATTGAAGTAATATCACTCTTTTGCTAAACGTGGCAGATAATTGGCAGAGTCACTCAAGTTGGATCGAGCGACTCTGAAATTCCGCGAGGAACATCCTTTCCTGTTCTACCTTGCTTGAAACTCAGCTCGTCCGCTTCGGCTCCCTCGTAATCGTACAAGGCTCGCACGGGGACCCCTGGTTCCCCATTGTCGACCAGTGGTTCACCACCGTCCTCGTCCCATTCCTCCTCTTCGAACGGGTTCGACTCTTGCTTGGCGTTGGTGCCATTACTGTAATCATCACGCATTTTAGTACAGATTAATAAAACGCACACCGATAAGATCTATCAATTTATCTCTCACGACAACTTACGTGATAGTCGAGGTCCTGTTGACACTGTCTGTATCGTTCTTCTCCGACGACTGCTTGCTGGAGCTTATGGTGTCCGTTTTACTGTCCCCGTGATTGCTGTCCGCTGATATCACTCGGCCGGCGGACTTTGATTTTGATTTGTTATTAACCGTCGGGAATTCCTGTTTGAACGGGAAGAAGAAAGCATCTTAGATACGTCTCGACGAGATCTGTGTGAAAGTGATACCGTGATACCGGGCGCACGAATCTCTCGATGAAAACGCCATGCGTGCAACCAAGAGTGTATAAGGACACGAGTCCCTCGCCGCGAATACTTTGCGTTCGGAATGAGCATGCCGACGATGCATGTGCGATTTCGTTGAAGCCTATTTCATTGCGTCTATCCTCCCAATAATCTTGCGTGCGTCAAGAAGATTCATTATCTCCAGGCTTACATTCGACCGCGATAAGGCTCGACAATGCAAGAAGTCTATCTTTTATGGAGAGGCTAGTATCCGGATTCCCATTGCGATAAACGTTGAAAAACAAAAAAAAAGCGTATGTACAAAGCACACTCAGGCTCGAGATAAAATCTCTTGGAACAATCGTGGCAATGAATGCGTGATATCTCTGGATGAACGGATTAATTATGAATAGTTAAAACAATGCCATTTGAATTCTGTATCACCGGCGTCATTATTGTTATTGCGTTATCGACGAGACACAAACGAGACGTCCTTGTGCGAGAATAATAATTTAGCTGTCGGCTATGTACAGAGAGTTTAATGCTGTACCATGCATGAAATTAACATACAGAATCGCTCGTAACCGTCGCGGTTTCTTCGGAACTTGTTTCCCCTTTGCAAAAATCCGTTTGGACGCTATGTCCACGTAGATCTTTAACTCGAATAACTATCTCGGCTGCTACACGTTAAACCGAAACTCTGCTAAAGGCTAATCTACAACGTGTTCTTTCTAGAAACCTTCTATTTTGTAGCCAATAAATACGTTTAAAAATGTGGGCAAGTTGATAAATTGTACATTGTACAATCGTAAATTGTCGACTAATTTTTTAAGCGTTTTTACTTGCTTATACAATAGAATGTTTCTAGACGCAAAGAGCACATTGTAGATTAGGTTTCAAGATTGCAAATGAAGATACAATTTATAATACTCGAGCAAGAAAGTTTCCAAAGGAAAGTACGACAATTTTGACGAAATCTGCTGCTTATTCCTCCATTTGCGAAGTTAACTCCGTATTAGTTCCGTCATTTAGCCTTCCGTAACGCGACCATCGTCGTGATCTTCAAACGTGACCATGCAGACGCTGCATGTGATTTTTCACAATCGGTTGCAGGCATATACGACTTAAGTCTAACGATTTATACACGTATAGATCTCTTAATAATATTACAATTATCCATACCGTATACCATGAGCAGAGTAATAAGCGTCTTGCAAGAAACTTATTTACAAACTTTTGAGGAGAGCTTTCCTTATAAGCTTGACTTTTCAACTTAGCCAAGAACAATTTATACAACTATTTTCATTAGATATCGTTAACTTAACATCGTTAATTACTTCGAAATATGTGAATAATAAAATCGGGAGTATAATCTCCCTTCTCGATTGATCTGACTTCGTAATCCTTTGTACGACGGACCTCGGATCTTTCGCGAGGCTGCCTCTCCAGCTTGTAAATTCGTTTCTGCTGTACCTGCCGCAGGAGGCTGTCCGTGTTCACCTTTAGACACAGATCCGTGCGAATACGTGCGAGCGCAAGAGCGGAGAGGATTACGGTTAATTCGGTTAGGAGCTAGAAGCTGAGAAAGGAAACCCATCCTGGATGACCTCGCGGCCGGCTGGGACATCCGTTAAAAAGCTGTCGCGTGCCAGCCTGACCGGTGCCGGCGATCTTTCTCTTTCTATCACATCCCCTCGAGCCGATCGCTCCGAGATCGGGACGGGACCGGCTCGTCGGCGGTAAAGTACAGTAGGCGGGCGGGTCTCGGATGCCGCGGATTGTGTTGGAAACGGTTAAAGTGAGACTGGCGCGACGTGTGTGCGTGGTGTGTTTTAACGTGTAAACAAAACTTTACATGCAGATCCTCGCCGACCGGGCGTTGATTGATGAGAGTGATGGAGCCTGCCGGGAGCGCCTCCTTCGACTTCGAGCCCTTCGTGATCTCGCGGAACTCCTCTGTGTAGTCCTGCATAATAGCAATGTCCCAAAACAATCACATGCATGCATTCCGGAAAATTGTCAGGGATTGTTCTTTCTCTCTCTCTCTCTCTCTCTTTTCTTGCTCTACATTGTCTTCACAAATGTTAAGAGTACGATAACATGATGTGAGAGCTTTCGACTAACATCTAAGTACTTTTGAATCGAAGGAAAAGACGAGAGAGAGGCGACGGTGTGGGGATGGGTGTTACTCTCGCAACGAATTTAACCCTTGACAGTGGATGCATTCCACGGGGACGTGGACGAGCGACGATAGTACGACCGCGATAACGACCAACCCGGTTCTTCTGCGCAAGGCTTTTTTCTTCACACGAGTTAGTTAAAGGAGAACTCTTGGTAAAGGGGCACCGGCTTGCAACCCGTAATCGGTATAAGATCGACGAACTCACGTTATATACAACGACCGCGTAAATTTTTATGTTATTCTCTTTCGGGGTGGGAAGGCAAGAAAAGTATCGGAGAATGTATATCGCGCCTCGGAAACGACACACGTATGAGAGATTACGGGTTAAGAAAGCTTGAAAACTGAAGAAGGCAAAAACATTGTTGTCAAGCAGGGTAACTTTTTCACAGGCGAATGTACAGAGGAAAGCGTAATTCTGATTTTAACAACTACGGAAAGGATTGACGACAACAGCGACGAGTGCGAGGGTTAAAAACGCTGATTAAAGAGCACCCCCCGATTTTTCGGAGCATTCGCTCGATTTTTTTTAGCGCGACCGCAAGACGTAATTCCCATTACCATCCCGTTCTTTTGCAAGAATCGATATGTCGCTACTCGAATTTGGACGTGGCTTGTTTCTCAACGGAGCTCCGTCTCCTCTTTTTACCTTTCGATATTATCGCGAAATCACAGCGAGTATCATGTATACCGTCGAATCGAACTGCTGGGGATAAGAGAGGCGTACCGAGGCGCACAGAACGTCCAACATGTAATAGTAAAATTATTGTAAAAAAGGGGGGGAGGGGCAGCTATGTAGAGAGTAATATTGAGTCCACGCTACAGCTAGTTGTTGTCTAACGACAGATCTTCAACCACGAGCAGGGCTTTTACATGCGACAGTAGAGCTTCTTTAGCGCAAAGCGTAAGCGACTTACTTCGAACTGCGGCCAATTCATAGCCATATTGACGCCGTGGTTATTGGACCACCATTTCAGGTCCTTCTCGTGATCGGCATTGTTTATCGTGTGATAGAACTCCTCGTATATCTGCGGAAGCCTGGAAAACGGTAATACGCAATCTATAGTAACGGCCGTTAATGACATGTGAAAGTTTCATATTCGTCAAACGTAAAATACTGGATACTCGGGGAGAGGCGCGACTCCAATTTCGGTTTTATTTGATCTGGAGTGTCGAGGCAAAATTGGAGAATTAATTGAGCGACGAAAACGAAAGTCTCTAATCAACGTTGATTATGACAGACGCGCTCGCCGGTCGCGTTGACGAGCAACGCATCGATTTTTGTAATATGTATATCTATCGAATTTGCGGTTACGCAACATTGCACAATACGGCTATGCGATAGGAGGGGGGGGGGGGGGACTTACACTGGGTCCTGCGATACGTTGAGACACTTGTGAATGCCGAAGAGGACGTCTTTGAAGAACTGTAATCGCTGCGCCTCCATCTCCTGGCACTTCTCGAACACTTGCGTCATGTCCTCCATGTACTTTGGATTGTACTGATTGATTTCCTGAAGAGCCGCCTCGTACTTCTCCTTCGCCTTTTGCACCTCCTCCTTCGTTTTTTGCACTCGATCCTGCATCTTCTTCACCTGTCGAAAGAGAACGAGAAAACGCTTAGAAACTCTGCGAGGAGCGTTCTCTTTAACGCCGGGTTGAAGGTAAAGGCTTTGGTCGGCACTGACGAGACGTGGCCCAGGAGCTTCGGATCTTTGGAGAAAACGATATGCAAATCGGAGTCACTTGACGCGAATCTCTAGATCTAATTTACTCTTTCGTTAGTTCCGCGCAAAGTCCTACGGATCGTTGATCTAATAGGCCCGTTTCTTTATCTTCAACCTCGTCTGGCCCATCGCCAAAAAGCTGAGGACGCTCTTCGGCGATGTTAAGCGCCACATTGAGAAAGGGGACAAGAAATATATGACAATTTCCGTACGTCAACATGTGCGAAGAAGTATATAATCTGGCTACTTTTGCTGGCTACTTACAACATATCGTTCAATCTACTTGTATACGCTTACTTCGCCGTGCAACTACGCGTAAATAATACATAAAATAATGGCAATTCTACTGTAATAACGATCTAGCTTGCATCTTTAAGGTATCTCTAGGTCGAAACTAAAATCTACTGCTGTCTACGCGGGTAAGATGGGAAACATTCATCTCATTGAGGTGCAGCGTAAAAAATCGCATGTATATCGCACGTATACTTGCAAACTTTGCGTCCGAAACTTTCGCGAAGGCCCACAGAACGTTCTCGGATCTTCATTGGGAACTTTGCGATGGAACTTAGGTGAATTTCACGGAACTTGAAAATGTTCTGGTAACACAGTAATCTCGCCGCTTTACATAATTCCGTAATTACAGCGCTCACTCTCCGACCGTGCCGCGACGAGGACAAGGTTGTGGGCGCTCGGGTGAAATTTATGTCATTACTCGATTTTACGGGAAAGAAAAACGTCGAACGCGTGCTCGTCGAGTATCGCGCGCCGCGAGCGCGCGCTCTAAGAATTTAGAGTAAGAGGCGAAGGGATTTACATATGCCGGCACATGTATCATCCATATTCCACGCACGTGCGCGCCGCATTTCTCCCGCGCCGATCTCCGGTTTTACTAAATTACGGTAATACACGTCCAAGTGTGGGTTCTTGCAATTACGAGCGAGGCTTAATCAATCAAGCCGGGACGGTACACAGAAATTACACCCGTTGCCAGTCATATTTCCTCTACGTGGCAACCCTTTAAATATACAGCCACTCCGAATAATTATTAAGCAGCAGTACGTCCGATATAAATAAAAGCCAAGCGTGCCGCATCTAAGATAAGGGATGGATCGACATCAGAAGTTGACCAGGTATGTAGAGGAAAGTCCTCTATTATGAGATAGCAGGTTTTCAATACCCAAACTCAATCACAAATCTCTCTTTCGCAACGATTACACAGTCTAAGAATGAATTTTTCACTAAACAGATTTCGCTCCAAGGGCGATAAATTCGTGGTGAAAGCAACAGATGACGCCTGTTAATTTAACAAAGACCCCGCCATCTCATATTACTTTCCTCTACGTATACGGAGAGAAGAGAAGGATCTCTCGAAAGAACATTTTTACGCTACGGTTGCGCCTTTCCGATTTCGATCCATTCGACTGATCAACATTCCGAGCGCAGATACCTCTCGTGCGAAAAGGTTCAAGTCAGAGTTTTGCTTACCAGCAGAGCCTTCTGCAATAGGGAAAGTAAAAAGAAAACAGAGAGAGGAAGACATAAATTGAGAAACATGCGACATGCAATATCGTAATACATACAAACTGAACGTCGCCTATTTTATTATCCCTAAGGTTTTTTGGTATTCTGAGCCTCCATGCACCACATCCACAATCTGTCATCTAGAAACCGTCGTTAGCCGTCTTTCAAAGATGCCTGCTCTCCGACATCGGGAGTCAATTACTGTGCCGATTATTGAGCCGCGTGTGCCCGCGAAGTTCTGTCGATAGTTCCGCGATTCACGGGATGTTGGACTCTCAGAATTGTCGAGAGACATGGAGCGCGAATTTTTGCTTTAGAAAAAAAAATCCTTTCTTCTCCTAAGCTCGGGATCGCAATCTCTCCCTCCCTCCCTCCCTCCCTATAATTCTAACGGCAATTAGAACAATATGGCGTCGATAGCGAAACTCAGATGGAAAGCTGCAAGGTGGTTTTTCTATCGCGTCACAGGCTCGCGTTCACGTCACTCTCGGGTATCATTTGTATAATTATTACCGCGCAAGAAGCGGAATGAACGTACGTGTGCACGTACGGTTTGTACTACGATCGTTACAAAGTATCCTTTCCGTTCCGAATAGGAGACACGTTGGGCAAGAAAAAACACACAGACGTGCAAGAGGAACTCCGCGTCTCCAGAGTCGCGTATCGTTAGCTTACCGCGAAAACGGCTCAAGCAAGAAGAGGCGCATGCAAGAATTCTTAAGAATAAGGTGTAACGTACGTTTTCAGAGCCTCGGGCCATCTGCAAATAATACTCGCTAGAGAACAACTGTATCTATTGTATTATAGAGCGCGACTAATATGCGTCATGTTAATACGAACGTTGCGTTTTTTAATCCGGTTGTCACGTCGTCTCGAAAAGGGTATCGATAAAAACGTGAATGGACCCTGGGATCGAGTTACCTGACTAATTGCGGATTTTAATCGCGAGTTAAAATACGCAGCGCTGTTAGAATAATTAACGTGTTAATTAAGATAATTAATGCGCTAGTTATAAATATAGGCTATCCGCAAAATAATAGTTCAACTTGTCGCCTTTGTCATCGTTTGCTACTTTACGTTACTCGTTATCTATATTCTCGTTTTAAACCCCAACGCTATAAACGACGGACAGAAATGTACGACAATGAGAAAATGTACGCGGCGGGAATTGTCTCTTAAAATGTACCCTGAAAATCATGTAATCGTGGGACGTAATGTATTTTGAAGAATTTCAAAAAAACTTTCATAAAATTCATTCAAAATGCCGGCGTTGTCCCACAATTACGTACTTTTCAGGATAAATGTTAAGAGAAAATTCTCCCCGCGTAGACACTTTACGCGCTCTATTGTAACACGGGAACGTTATTATCGCAAATATTACTTCGCCAGGAAGAAATCCATGCCGATTCGCGCCGATGCGGCTCAATCGTAATCCGCCAGTCTTTTAAGAGTGCACGTGATGACAAGTGATCTCTATGGCAATACGTGATCGTTGCGCCGATCGATTGATAACAAAGTTGTTACGAGTGACAGGTGATGTAAAGTCGCGAGACGCGCGCGACACAATGGAAACGTAACGACCCTCACCTGATCCGGCGAGAGAGAACTGTCCGCCGAGGCGTTCCTCTCCATGTTCGCCGCGGTTCGCTCGGTCTTACAGCTGTTGTGGTACTCCGACTTCGCCTTCTCGACCTTCTGCAGAAGCTTCGCCCATGGCTTCTGCGCCTTCTTGAACGCGTCTTCCATCTCCTTGCGCTCCTTCAGGGTCATCATCGACTGCAATCACGGAACCAAATCAGCGCATTAGCAGCTATCGCGGAAACTCGTGTAAGGTATATCACTAATTAGCGGACTTCAGGAAACTACTTTAAATGACGGACGAATAAATATTATAAATATTAATGCCGTGTCGCGCGGGATCTTCTATCAAATCTACAAGGAATTTACTAAACTTTTCTTCCTTCTAAAATTACTTATTCGTAAAACATGAATTAGAATCAATCAAGATTTATTGTACCTCTTTTGTCATTCAACGGTGCGTAAAAAGTCTGAGTCAGCCCTTTTCAGGGGAGAAATTCAAAAATTTCACGACTCGGAATTTCTGTTTGAAGGACCCACCGCTTGTAGTACCGCCTTTTTACCTTGTGATATGTATCCTTCTGCCACGTCTTGACTTGCTGAACGATGTCGTTGCAGAGGTTCTCTTTGACCCTGAGATGAAGGTCGCAGAGTCTGTCGGACTCCACCAAAACGCCCTTCCACGCCGCCTCGGTCGTGCCGTACTCGGGTCCCTTCTCGATCTTGTCGTTCCAATTCTTCGACCAGCTTTTGAGCGCCTTGGCATAGTTCTTCTCGATCTCCGCCCTTTCCTGGACCAGAGCTATTAGACTGTCACAGAGCTTCTGACCGTCCTCGATCCTCCTCGTCGTTCGTTTGTAGTTTCCCGGCTCCCAGAAGGAGTCCGACGTTGCTATCAGCATGTTGTCGTCGCTGTGATGTGACATCTTAGCCTAAGTCGAGAAATCCCTTTCGCCTGGAAATAAAAAAGGGGAGCAAGCGGTCAGAGAGATGGCAACAGTATTCGGTAAATAGAGGAGAACAATTTATTTATTATGCGCGCGTCACGTACGAAATTTGACGATGTGGCATAAACGGTGCTTGATTTTTCTTTTATATCGTCGCGTACTAATAGCTTTCGAATTCACATACGAGGTAAAAAAAGAACCTTCTCTCTCTCGCAAATTACGGTCATTACTGCGTGGAGCTGTCGTTAAGCTAAGAAATACTATTATGGAGGGCTCATTTGATGAGGAATATAATAGAAACTTAATAAGAGAAAGACAAGTCTTTAAAGAGAAAAGTTATTCGAAGCTCGAATGCATTATTACAAAGCTACAAAGAAAACAAATTCAATTTACAAGACCGAGAAATTACGTTATTACCGGTGTGTAGAATCATCTGTGACTTGAATATCTATTTATGTCGTTCGGTACGCAAGAAGAGATTTATTTAATATCTTTCACGAGCTCAGAGAAACGTATGAGTTCGTTATAAATGTATTCATGCAGAATTAGACTTCAGCTGGGGTATCCAATTGCAATGTCAATTTCCACGCGACAATACTACAGTATTTTTAGAACAGAGAAAAGTACGTTATTATAATATTACAAGAAATACGTCAAGACGCATTTTTACAGAAGTCCTTATAATTTCTTTTATTCCACATATTTTTGCTCAATACAATTTCTGTCTCTCTCGACCTGTTTTATATGCCGAGAAGTTGCAAATTCCTCGGATTATCGGCGAGGAATTCACGAGCTGCAAACGGACGTGTGTAGCCGTCCCTATGCAGGAATGTTGAATATTTGCTGGAGCGAGCACGGTAGTTATTGGATTACGTCTCGGTTTGGATCATCGATTGGCCCAATTTGCGAAGCCATCACAACTCTGCTTCGGCGACATTCGTATGCGCTGACACGTGTGATATGTTTACATACTTTGCGGATTTTTTTTTGGCTCTGCGTACACAGAGGGAAAAACCTAAAGACTCTTGGTTTCGTGTGTGGCACAAAGCTCTACAGATTCTTCCAATCGATAGAAATCCATTGGATGATCCCTGACCTTCAATTTAAATAATTCAATTACATGATGAACTGAACCGACGGAGTGAATTAAATATTTATCAGCTGTTTATTTTTTCGATTTCTCGAAGAACGACGGTCTCGTTGGATAAGACTGGCACATCGAGAGAATACTCTCCTGAAATCGCCAAGTCTTCCGTGAGGCGATTTTATTGCAAGGCGGCACGTAACGCAGCCGAGAGAATGAAAATCGCGTCTGCGCGATGCTGCGCGTGCTGCGATTCTCGATTGGGTCAAGCGGACTAACAATTAGATGCAGCGGCTCGGCGAGGCTCGTTCGTATGCAAATGGGGTGCATCTAGCATGCATTTGCCGGTTCTAGTCATCAACGGTTACGGAATTACTTGATGGAGTTTTACGGCTAACAACATCGGCGCCGCTTCTTCTACCTTAACAGCGTGACTTTATAAAGCACGGAAACAGTTTCGTTTCGGGGAAGAAAGGGGAAAAATCGGATGAGTTATCGCAATCTAACCCAATTGCTCAACAAACGGACGACGGGAAGTTTTTCCAATTCCAGGGAAAGGAATTTAAATCCTTTAAGTCTTTTGTTTCACGCAGATATTGAGGTGCGCAAATTCGGTGATATGCAGAATCGAAATATAAAATTCTCAACTACTTTCTCGTTTACGCTTAACAAAGGTCCTGTAATCGAGTATTAAAATTCACAAGTGTGTTAAACTGCCTTTCATTTACAAAAGAAACATACGAACAATGCGACATGCGGGATCGCGTGGAAATGAATCGAAAAGGAGGCAAGTGGCTGCGTTTAGTAACGAGACAATGGCCGGTCGTGAATATATGGGAGCGCTCGTGGCTCGTGCGTTAAGAGACGTCCTTGCTGAAAACCGAAGTCTTCGGTGAAAGTCGACGGGAATGAAATCTAGGGACCGGCGAGATCCGCCGTTCCATAGATTGTGAGATACCTCTTTACAGAGAGAGAGAGAGAGAGAGAAAAAATTGAAGATCCGTTGTTTCCTCGGTTCTTGAGCTCGTTTTCCCGTGCTGTGCCCGGCGAGAGCGCGGCGGAAACAAGGAGCATCGATATCGTTGCATAAATCAGTAAGAAGCGTTTAATATGTAATTACTATCTGAATTGGAGGGTCGTCCAAGTATTGATTTCGCAATGAAAGTTAATTGTATAATTATGTGAACGAGGCAGAGAGAGAAATGCAAACGAGTTTCATCACATTTTTAACTAATAATCGATTTCATGTTTATGACAAATATTGAAATTTATATCCGTTAAAAATCTAGCTCTCCAATTTGCGGTATTTCTCAACCAACTCCGCGGCTATTTGCTCGAATGATTGAAATTACTGGACATTATGTATAACAGACCATCGTTGTCTGAAAATTATCGACTCTGCAGCTCTTTGATTTATTGAATATTCGCGTAGAAATTCGTAGAGTTATGCGCGCTGCGCAAGAGATAGTGAACGAAGGTTTAGCGGTTCTCCAGACTAATTTGCATAGGTTTTAATGCAAATGCTTATGGAAGTGATATATTCTTGAACAGTTCCGTAATGTGCACATAGAATCATAGGCTTACGTGTCTTAGATAAACGTACAGGGTGTATCAGATACCGCGCACTTTTCCGCAACAAAAATCATAACGAAATAATATAATCTTCAAATTGACATCCAAAAGCAAAAGATTAACAATCGACAGCAATAGACAGTAAAATCCTGGACGTTTCTGTATGAAAAGAGATTTCTGTGCTTCTTGAGATTGAGATCTTCAATTTCTCTCGCCATATGAGAACTGTGAAGATTTAGGCTGACTACATCGGTAGAGAGGAAGAGGAAGAAATCACGATGATGACGAAGAATAAGGAGGCGTGGGCCGAGAAGAATGCCGCCAGGCCGGCCCAGGGAACGACCGATGAAATCGGTAGATCGAGAAGGTCGCATCAAGGCTCCGGGATCAAGTCCGATTTTCGGCGCCGTGCCGGACAGGTGGAGCAAGGAATTGTTGCTTTTCAGCTCGCGCGCGCACGAAACGCGCAGCACGTTTCCTCGGCGATCGAGCCCTTTCCTTCGCTTCGGACTCGATCGGAATGGGCACGGTCGCTCTGGATCGTGGAATGTTGCTCCGCTGGCTGGATCGCTCGCGATCTCGAAGGCGCCGTTGAGCGTGAAGGATTAATCGATTACGCTCTTCTTCGTGTTAAAACCGCAATATTTGCCGGCGGACCTAGGCAGACGGACGAGACATTCGCGTGTGGTAGCGTGAGGCACGATTGACGAGTAATAGATTTATGCAATTAACTTTTTTCAATAGTAAATTTTTAGCAACTCAGGCACGTTAAATAATTAGATGCTGAGTTTAACGAGGCTTGACCTCGGAAATCGTATACGGAGAAAAATTTCTCTTAAAACTTACCCTAAAAATCATATAATTGTGGAACAACATGATATAATATTTCGTAGAATTTTATGAGTTTTTTTAAAGCATTACAAAGTACTTATGCATTACATACAAAATTCTCCAAAATACCTTGTTATTTCACGATCATGCGATTTTCAAGGTAAATTTTAAGAGAAAATTCTCTCCGTGGATAATTGAAAATTTATAATCGATGAGACGTGCGATGCAAGCTTAAGTGTCTATATTAGATTTTTGCATATATTATTTGTACTTTATGTATCAAGTTATACATCAAATGCAATATCATTAATTAGATTAAATTGTGCACCCTAAAAATAATTAGGATCGATGTTAAGTCCTTACAATTATGTCATCGCAACGCGAATAAATTCCCAAGTATTTATGCTGACTAAATAAGGTCGTCTTCAGCCTTTGAAACAAATAGATAACAACTGGAGCTGAATTACGGCGTGTGACATTGAAACCGTGCACACGGTTCACTTTTCAAAAGCGTGCCGTAATGCTGGAAAATGCCGCGTATGCAGATACCGTAAAATGTGTGTCGTTCGTATTTTCGTGAGTAGCAAAGTCGGGCGCCGTCGTAATCGAAAAATCGACGTAGAGAGAATAAAAAAAAAGCAAATTAAAGCTGAATAAACAAGCTAACTGACCAATGCATTGGTTTAACTGAGATACATTTTTCCAAGTCCGTGGACCAAAAAAAATTTGGAAAATTTTCGTCTCGCGCTATTTCTTATGATTGCGTGATAACTGTAGCTCACAAAAATTTTTTGCCGAAAGATCCCAAAACTAGAAACTTAAAGCTTCAAAATTCTTTTTTTTTAAATCTCCATACGACCATTTTTCACGGAGATACAGCCTTTCAAAAATCGTTAAAAAATTTAAGAAATTTTTTGTTCCCTTAATTTTTTCCAGTAGTATATTTCCCAAAATACCTCCAATATCTTTATTTATAAAAATAAAGTAAAATTGTCAGCGCAGCTATAGAAAGTCAGCATCGTGTATCTTTTATCGGTAAAAAAAAAAAAATAAACGCGAGATGAGCGACTCCTTCGCTCACGTTATATTTTACAATTTTTCCGTGCCGATTGATAAAAGTTATAAGTTAATAAAAATTTTTGTTGGTCACATACTGATATAGTGCCTTTGATAACAACCTGTTTTGCACAGATTTGATGACGGGTGCAAGAGAAAAGCTAACAGTATCATACGCTGACTCATTATTATCGCGCCTTCGTTTTGTTATGTCACTATTATCGTCTAATAAGGTTGTCTGATGCATCGTACGTGCGTTATAATACCCTCCTAAGTATCGAGCGTGCACACGTGTTGGCCTCGTCGAAAGCTGAGTCGCTTTCATACACATACACACCAGCGCGAGGAACTCCACGTGCATCGCACAATGCTCGGAAAACTCGCAAAGCGTAATTTTTCCTCCCGTCATCTTTTTCACATTTTAAATCTCGCTTTTGCATTTCTTCATTCAATCAAAGAAGATTG